GTGTGTGTGTGTGTGTGTGTGTGTGTGTGTGTGTGTGTGTGTGTGTGCAGTTGGGGCAGTGGGCAGGCTTGTTGGGGGTGTGTTGGCTCCTTTTTTTAAACATAGCTGCGTTGTTATGGTTGCCTGGGCTTTCATGTTGTCCAAACCTCCAACTAAGAGGCTCTCATTTTCGGTTCCTGACTCTCCAGAAGGCAATGACTTCCAGATTGGGGGACCTAGTCACCACTCAAGAGCTGGGGTGGGACAGGCTGTAAAGGGGGGGTGGGGTGGTGGTGGGGGGTGCAGGTCACCCTGATGGCATCAGTTCTGGACACAACAAAGATCTTCTGATGATGTAAAATGAACCATTGTGGCACAAAGTTCTGGGAGCCGGCGTCATCAAAGTTTAATGTGAATTTTTTCGCACTTTTGCTTGAAAAATCAGCACCGCCTCAGAACAAAACCGAAGCGATTGAGATAGAGACCTGTCAAATACCGTTTCTTCTAAGCAAAGATAGAAACTTTTTATTCACGAAATCGGTCAATCGTAGCATTTTCTTAGTCATAGAGGACGGTTTCAGAATGATTCTCCCCAATGTCGAGCACTTCTGGTATTTCATACAGCTGTGTGCTTTCACTTTATGTACATTCCCTGTCAGGAGCCGCTGCTCGAGCTCATCTAATATCCGGCCGATCTAGGGCAGGACTTTCCATAGGATCAAATCAACACAAACTGTCAGCACTGTAACCAGCAGTTGTCACCTAATATTCCCCCTCCCGCTTGCCGCGCATTGATTTCTTTTTCTTTCCCCTTATCTCTGCTTTTTTTCTCACGCACTTTCTGTCGGCAAGCAGATGTGGGGAATTTCATCACATTTTAGACTCGGGGGTAGTTTTTTTTTTTTTCTTCCCCCCACTCTTGTACATCTAAAAACTCTAAAACATTTGTACTTGTTTTTGAACTGGCAAACAGTCTGACCTTTTGCTCTGACACATTGTGATAACAATAAGACTATTTGAAACAAGAACACTAAAGAGTCTGATTTCATACTCTCGGGCTAAATGGAATACGCTTGTGCTGTGTGAATTGATGGTCAGTAAAGTACTATTTTTTCGTCCAAGAAAAAAAACAAAACATCCAAATCCAGATTTCTTAACTATTTCTGATGCTTGAAACTGAAAACAATAGACACTGCTGTAGCTTTTGGCTCAGACTAAAATCCTTACCTCTCTTCCAAGAAGTTCCATAACACCTCCATCATGCATCAGCACGTCCAGATGTTAAATATCGTATCATAATAACATATTATCATCGGAAACATGGAGACATATCTAGGCAGTTAAAACTGTGTGGGTGGTCTGCTTGAGCAGGAAGTAGAAACGACACCAGCAGCTTAGATATGAAGGCTGACAACAGCATATGAGACCGAACATCTGGCTCCCTCCACTGACCTGGACTCTATTCACAAACAGCTGTTTGTTCTGTCTTTGACGTAAGGCTTATTAAGCGTGGCCTTGATTCATTTGATGACAAAACGTAGGGTTTGTTGGGGGAAAAAGCAGTCACCGTCGCTTAGAGGCCCCCTGGATCACCCAGTAATTCTCAGCGACTCACCCCCTTTTTTTTTTTTAACGATTTTTTTAATTGTTTGTCTTTTATCTCTGCAAGAGGAGAAAAGGTGTGTGTGTGTGGAGGGGGGGGGTGTTTTTAACACGCCATCTGAGTGAAATGCAAGATTAAAGACGTTATTCTCAAAAGCACTCTGAGGAAAGAGAGAGGACGCTTTAATTTCCCCTTCAAATATAAAAAGCGATGGATCCGCGGAGAGCGACGGCCGAAAACTAAAGAATACATTAGACGTGTTTTATCGGCGTACGGCCTCCTGAGTGTAGGTGGGCGTGCGGGGTGGACGCGCGTATGCTCACGCGTGTCCAAGGGTCAAGGTGGAGGGCTGTCATTACAAACAAGTGATGTCTGAAATCCCATTAACTCTTGTATTCAGCCGCAGATTTCTGTTCAAATAGAGTGAAGATAAAAGGCAGCAACAATGTGCTGAGAAATCAAAGGCCTTTCAAGGGAAATGAGACTACAGAGACTCCGAGAGCCACGTTTACGATTTCCTGACGCACTTTAAAAGGTGTTGATATCTAATTGTAATTTTTAAAGTAATCGCCTCTTTGAAGTAATTACATCTTTGATGTAATCAAGAGACAGGAGCCTTATTATCCCGCAATGTTCTTTATTTTTGTGCCTGGCTGCTTGATGTTGATTGAAATCGGATCAGGCGTTGTGGCCCAGAGGACGCCACACCAGCTCGACCTGAGCCTCACAGCTGTTCGAGTGCTTCACGATATGCCCCCCCCCATCCCGCCAAATCACTCCGTGAGTGGCGACAAAGACGTGAACAGCATCAGCAAAGAGAAAGACCGGTCAGAATCAGATTTGTGGAAGTTGGCGGAGAGCTCCTGCTCATTTCCAGGTGCAGAGAAATGGGGCGTGACTGACCTGGTGGGTAACTTTTCAGGGACGGATTCTCCGTCTGAGCATCAGGAGAGACATTTTCACAGACTTAATAGGCTCCACTGACACAGCACCAGCCAGTAATAGCCCGTGTGTCCAGCAAGATGATAGGCCCTCATGCGTGATATGTGAAGAAATAAGTCAGGTTTTAGTAGCCTTGATTCACGAAAACCCCCCGTGTTCCATATTGATTTGGACCATGTATGTATTCCCTGGTGATTTGTGTCAGCCTGCACGGGTGGGTAGTTCATCTGCTGTAAATTAAAGGGTGTGTGAACTCTTCCCTCGTCTGTGCGTGCGCCCGTGTACCTGAACATGCCTGTAGATATTCCTTTTTTTTTAAATACTTAGAAACTGCAGGTTTCTGATTCTTGGATGGCGTGAGTGTTAAAGGATCTTTCAGTCCCTCATGTGCATGTGCACACTTGCCCGTTTCGACAAAGAAAATGACGTGTAAGTTATGTGTGCTCGTGTGTGTGCGTGGTGGGGGGTGGAGGAGGGGGATTTTTCTTCTTTTTTTTTTTTTCTTAAACACAGAGGGTTTGATAATTATGGGTTAAATGAGTGCTCTCAGTCAGCCTCCCTGAGTGTGTGTAAAAAAAGGAAGGCACAGCGAAAGCCACTTCAAGGCCGACTAATTACCCCGAGGAAGAGGGGAAACATAAATGGACGATTTTGCGGCTATAATGTTTCAGCAAAACGGCTACATCGACCTCAGCACGTGAAACGGAGCCACAGCTACTTCTGAGGGCAGCGAGCCGCCCCGCTCAGATATGCGTGTTACACACGTGTGTGTGTGTGTGTGTGTAATCCAGTCCCATTTGTTTGGATCCTGTGCGACTCTGCAGAACTTCTCTTCACTGCTTGTAGGGCTGCAGCGTTAGCACTCATTACTGCTGTCTGCGTCCCGTCACCTATACGCCGATGCGTTTTTGCTGGTGTTATCTGCACAGTTTTGGGATTTTCCCTGCCAAATGTCAAAGCTTCTTATTAAAATGTACAACTGCATCATTTCCCTCTCCCTGGATACATGCGAACGTCTGAAAAACATCAGTCAATATCAGTCTTATTTGTGTCAGGAGGAGAATAAGAAGCACTGTTGTCGGGGGGAGGGGGATTGGGAGGGGGATTTTTTCTGAAAACATGAAAAATAATAATTTCTAAAGCATGATCAATTGGAAATACAGCTTATATAAACTTGACAAAGGAAACAAATTCAAAGCAATAAAATGAGTAAAGATTTACTTGTAGTAAAAAAAAAGTAACCTTTATCTTCTCGTAAATAGACCATTTAATGTAAGACAGACATTTCTTCTTATTTGAAGGTTTTTGAAGGGTCTTGAAAATTGTGTTTTCCAAGCCTCATTTGTACAATAAAAGGGACTCGGACCCTCTAGTCTGAATACATACATACTCAGAAATCATTGAGTTGTTTAATAAGCAGAATGAAAGGCAGATATGGACTTTTAGGGTTTTTTTGAGGGGGGGGGGGGGGGTTTCTGCATACTGAGAGGAAGCCTGGTATCGCCACGTGGTTTAAGAATGTAGATTCAACCCAACAAATGAATGATGGAGCAGCATGCTCTGCCTCCCGTTCCTGCCTCAGTGACCGTTACACTGATCTTCCCCACTTTTAACCGGACATGATGTCCGATAAAGGGCACCGACGTCACGATTTGGCTGCCTTTCAGCTGATGTGCTGAATTCTCTGCGAATTCCTCCACCTCCCGCGAGCCACGCGACTTCCTTTTCATCCCTTCCCCAAATCCATCTTCAGATTGTTCCGATTGCCCCTGTTTGCGCGTTCGGTCAGACTGGAAGATGCTGATGGATACGAGCGGAGAGCGTTAACAGCAAGAGGGAGCGTGTGTGGAAGCTCTGCCTTTAAGTGATAAGGTATTCACTTTGTAACTCAGTGGGAGGCCCAGCAGGTAGCAGCAGTCTGCTGCACGTCGCGTGCACAGACATCCATGAAGAAAACGGACCCACGCGCGCGCGCACGTTCGTGTTTAACGCCGTGCCAAATAAGAAGTTTTAGCAAAAAAAAAATAAAAAAAGTGAATTCAGCCCCGTCAGTTCGCAGGAACTAAACACAGCTTGCAGACACACAGAGATCACACACTTCCACACAAGCAACGAGGGTGCCCGTGTCCACACACACACGCAAGCGCTCACACACGGGGCCCAAGTTTAAAGTCTCTCCACGCCGCCTCCAACTCAGCAGACCGCTGCGACGTATCGTGTATCAGCCCGGCATGCTGTGGGCATTAGCAGAAACTGCCTTTCACAAAAGTTAGCGAGAGCCATTTGTAAACAGGAACATGAAAGCAAACAAGCTCGCACGCAGCCTCACTTGATCATCAAAGCCTTATCGATCGGATGGCCCTCCTCCTCCTCCCAGCTTCTCCGCCGCAAACCAATGGGGGTGAAGTGCAGCCCATCTGTTTTGTTCCAAAACATGCTCAGAATGTCCAGCTCTATTCCCCTTTTTTTGGGGGGGGGGGCTCGCGTTTGTACGCGATTGCACCGAAATGCAAATGTTGCAAAAATCAAAATGAAAACTTCTGAGACTCTTCGATTTACATTTTTTCTCCCTCTGTGCAGTTTTCCATCTGTGATTCAGAGGAGAGACACAAATGAGGGGCAGAACTGAGAGCATTTTTTTCTCTCTTGGCGCTGTCTTCTTTGGATCATATAATAAATATGATCAACAAACAACAAATGCATTTTTTTTTTCAAGTTTGTGATTTCATTAAGACAAGAAGGTCTGACATCTTGTCTCTGAGTTTAATGTACATATTTGGCCCCCCCTCAGCAACATCAAACGGGGGTCTTGCTGCTTCCATTCTGCGTCTGGCTGTTTCTAAATCGCACAAAACCGATATCTGACTTCTCCCCCTTGCTTTTGTGTCTCGGCTGCAGTCCAACAAAGTCTCGGTGGTCCAGCAGTCGCACGGGATGCACCCGCTGACCTCCCTCCTGCCCTACAACAACGATCACTTCAGCCCCAGCCCTCCACACCTGCCCACAGACATGAGCCAGAAGACAGGTGAGAATGCACACACTCACACACACACAGGCATCGGGGGGCGCGTTCAACACTGAACCACGTTTCCGAAGCGTGCCTCTCGCTTTCTCAGACACACACACGGTCGTCCCCTCACCAAAGAGCAACAACGTTCTGTCCACAGCGTCTTACGCAAAGCACGCTCACGGGGAATGTAGTGTAACAAACGCAGCACGATTCACATGCTGTCCCCTCCCTCGCACACGGACTGACCCACACTGGCACGCACACAGCTTGTGAAGTGGCAGCGCTGGCTCCGCCGGCCTGTGGTGGTCTCACAGCGGCTCTGAAGTGGCCTTCCCTCCTGAAGGGACCGCCAACCGCTCGCGCGCACACACACACACACACACACACACAAAAAGATGGAAACAATTAGGGTGACAATCGCGGAAACCATCACAGCGGCTCACACAAGGTTCTCCTTAGCGAGCGCTGCGTACAAACACACACTGTTCTCTGTTTGGAAGTCCCAAACAAACACACCCTGGCATTTAAAGGCTGCGGGGGGATTTGTTTTGCTAGAGGCGGAGCCTGAAGGCTGCAGTGGGTCCCGCTACCTGCCCGCCTCGCAGTTCGCTCCAGCGTACAGTTTCTCGGCTTCCGTCCACTTCACGCCCGGGAGGAGTGACCTCCTGAGGGTTTGGTGACAGCCTCTCATGTAGTTTGTGCTACCCCAAGCTCTGGTTTTATGTCCCACTGCTGCCTGCCTGCAGCGTTTGTTCAGCTGATTAAGCACTTCCTGCTTTTGGGACCGGACAAGGCTGCTGCACGGCAAGTTTATGCACAGGCCCCTTTTTGATAAGCAGGAGCAAAGGGATTCCCATGCCAAAGAACTTATGGAGGGATATTTGCTGCGACGGGCGAGATTAGAAATGAAAAGCCGCTGCGACAGAAATGTCAAAGTTCACACTTACAGTGACCAATGCATCGAACATCTTGCATATCCTCTCTCTCTGTCTCACTCTCTCTCTACCAGAGTTGTAAACGATCAGGGACATGGCAGTTCTCTCGATAATAGAAATAAACCCAAGTGACATAAAAAAAACACCAATACTAATCAGTTCAGAGACAGCAGGGAGTCAGAGAGAAAGGAGAGAAAGGAAGCCCCGACATTGCGGATATTGAATGATGTAAGGAGCGTGGGTGCTTGTTTTCAGAGAAATTAAACTAAAACACAACTATTATTCAGTCCTTAATTGTTGTAATTGTGTGGTTTGGAAGTAAACTGCATCGAAGGCTGCAGCCTGGAGTTTTTGCAAACAGCAACAACCACAGTCTAAGATGAATGGGTCCTATCACCTTCTTTCGAACAGCCATAGCTGACTGAGTTATTAGTGCGGGCTTCTTTTTTTGTGTCATTTGGTGAGCGGGGACACTTCAGGGACAAGTTTGTTTTGTGTGTTTACCGAACAAAAAGCGATCACAGCCTCTTTCGCAGACAGATTGGCAATTCTTCCACAAAGACCTCTTTTCCTCTGCGTCGAAAGGAGGCGGTTGAGATGTTTTGACGGCGGTGGCAACGCAGCCTTGATTTATTCCGGAGGAGAAGGAGAGGAGAGGTTAAGAGCAAGACAATAGAGTAATTGAGGATAGACAAAAGAAGAATGAGCGTATTGTACCGTCGTGACGAGGTATTAAACAAAGACCCCAGGCAGTCTCCTGCCTGCTCCGGCTGGAAATCCCCATTTCCCTTCAAACACATGCTCCCTGTGTTGTCTAGACTCCCTGTGTGTGTTTATATATGTGTGTGTGTGCGTGTGTTGACGGCTGACACCCGCACAGTGACTCAGCCTGTAATGACAGACTGAGGTACCTGCTTCTTACTCACAGGTACACACACATTGCCAACACCTGGCTGTTGCACAAAGCTTTTTTCCGAGCATCTCACCTGGATTATGACTGTTTCTCAGGAGCGTCGTCGAGCGCACACACGCACACACACACACACCTTACCTCACTCCTGTCATTTGACAGCTGATCACAGATGAAGGTTGCGTCACCCTTTATGTCATTTCTTTCCCGCCTCCTTCCTGATCTCATGCGAAGCTGAGCGGAATTAATACCTTTTTCATACCTGCTGACAGGGGATTACCACATAACCCGGAAACATCAAGTCTTTAGAGCAAAAGCATCACAGAAAGCGGCAGCCTGCCATTTAAAGTGTCTTATCCAAATGTGTTAGGTCTCAGAAATAGTCTCCCTGTGTTTGTTGGTTTTGGCTTTTTATTTAGAGGTTACTTGTTTTTCTACTTTGGTGATTCTGCCAGCCAAAGGGGCAAAAAAGAGAAAAGACACATGTCAAGTTATGCTTTGCATTCATCTTCTATTTTCCCAAGTGGAAAAAGTACACCTTCTAAAGGTCTCTGTTTTTACAAGAAGCATCAGCCCTGTTTTTGAGCCCTGGCACAAGGTGTAAAGTTGATAACCTGATTTAGTTCAGGCTACTTGACTCCACATTACTAATTTATTTTCTGAGTGCAGATGGAGAGGGGACAAAAATAGCCTTTTTCTGACAGAAGTAGTTTTTGTCTTTATCTCATTTTCTAGTTTTGCTAGACCATTTTTTAATTTTTTTATTTCAATAAATGTAAATATATTTCTTATTTGTTATTTTTTATTTGTTCGTTAAGCCACTCTACACTGTAATCTAACCCATTCTGGCATTTTAAAAAACTCCTAACACAGGACATTAACCAGTCCCACAAAGCAAATGATTTACTCCCTTTTTATTTTGTATGAAAAACACCATTAGCTGAGAACTTAACATATTCCAGCATGGTGTCCAGTGCGTCTTTAAAATTATTGTGAAAACTGGATAATTAAAGGACAAAAGATAACAAAAGCAACTACTATGGAAGTGATTAAAAAAATAAAAATAACGCAGCCAAGACCTCGTACAGGGCATGAGAAATTAATCCGGACCTTTGCTTAGCTGAAGCCTCACCAAAAAAGGACTCCTTTTGTGACGGCTGGCTGTCAGGAAGTCAATCTTAACTTAGGCAAAAGGCAAAAGGTTTGATGGGGGGATGAATCAGTGTGGGATCAACAGGAAACGCAGTAGAACATTTTGCTAACATTCAAGGAAGTCATTCCTATGCCCAAAAAAATTAGGGCTGGCCAAAGATGCTTGTAGAGTGTATACTATAGCGAACATGACTTTTATGAAAAACCGTTTAGCAAGCTTTCAAGCTCAGTGTCATTTGAGTCACCACTCACGTTGGGAGGGGAGGTTCGCTGCTCCCTGCCTTAACACTGAGATAGGCAGCCAGCAGGAGGGTCCTGTGAAGACACCTGTAGGATTTTTGCTCGAATTCTGCTCCGAGCTGACACCATTCTACTGCATGTTTGGTGCACGGTTCACTTCCTGTGGTATTTCCATCACCACCCACCGTCTGTTTCAGTGCTGCCTAAAATGTGACTGCACCTTCACATAGTTAACCCTCCTATTTTCCCTCCCAAGTTCCCCTGATGGGCCTCATGTCAGGGCTCTGTGTGCCTGCCGTCTGCATCGTCCTGCACTCAGCAGAGCACCTTAGAGTTAATAGCTAAACTTTTACCACCCTTTGATGCCACACGGCCACCCGTCCTGATGGAAATACAGGGCATTTGCAGGAACTTTGCAGACACATAAACCTTTTTGGTGTCAGGTTTACATGTGGCTGTGGTGCAGTTTACAACATCTCGATAATAATGTCACGTCTCAGCCCAGCTTTACATCATCACCTACCTGCCATGCCAGCGGAAAGCCTTAAACTGACCGTCAGGGGGACATTAATGCGTCGGTCCCCGAGTTTTACCAGAGACACGATGATTTGTCCGTCAGATTGAGCGCTCCCCGGAAAATATTTGGCAGTCATTTCTCCAATAAACAGATGTTTAGTCATTTTCAGTTTGGATTCTCTTGCCCGGTTGTCCGTTAATCCACAGATATCAGATGGGCGGTCACCTCTTGCTAGGCAACGTTTGGTTCTGTGCGATCCAGCTGGTCCGCCTAGTCACTTCAGTCATTTCTGCAATCAGCCATAACAACACGCTTGATTCAAAACACGAGACTGTTCTCAGTTGATTGAGCGCCATCCCACCGTGTTGTTTCAGTTATGACTGTCGGCCGGACATTAGATTATAAAAAAAAGCAGAAATGAAACATGTCTGTACTAATTGCTTTTTTTTTGGGGCTTGGTCAAACATCGCATCTTTTTTTTCTTTTCTTTTCTTTTTTTGTTTTGTAAGTTACTTCTTACTTCACAGTGATTCAATTAAAAAAGACTCGTTCACACATTGATTTTGTCTCCATGAGGTCAAGCATTGCAAAACTTGGACACACTGCTGCAAGATGAGTGACAAAATATCAGCAGAGAATAAAATACATTAAGTAAATAAACATATTTAGGGCCCGACTGGCTAGTTTTGTTTGTGTTTCCCCGATTTGCATTTTTTTAATGATAACAAGAGTGTGAGTCATGTTGCTCAAAAACAGAGTGAGAGAAGTGAAACTTTGTATTAGAAATGAAATAGGATGAATAAGAACACAAAATCGGGCAAATCAATCTGTGGCACCACACTGTACAGAAAATAACTTTTCTTATTACTACAGCGTTCAAGCTTTGTTCCCTGAAAACGCATCTGTTTCTGTACTTGAGTAAAAAGGATTGTCAGCTCTCGTTACCGTCTTTACTGTAACAAAGTGCTAAAAACTTTCTTCTGGTCTTGGGCTCTTTTATGTATACCACACAGGCTGACTGGCAAGTCATTTAAAGGCTCAGAAGCTGCAGCGCTTTCACTCTCAGTGGTTATAACCACCGCGGCGCATTATCAGCACAGGAATACTATTTTCAGCTCCTCGACTCTCATTTTAACGTGCACGTGTTCTGATACCGAGTTCACACAGAGCCAGTTTGACTCAAATGGTTCGCCTTTGAAGTGTTTCCCGAGACGCCAACATGGGAGAGCGTGAGATAGTTATTGTAATTGTCATTCGACGGCCATTTTAAAAGGGGCATTCCAAAGAAAACTGCCCCATTACTGTCATTCATTTCCCCCCCATCAGATTTCCCAAAAGCTGACGGTTTTGCTCGTGGCAAAGCCGATTGTGACACAGAAACAAGCCCGGTGTTTCCATCACACAGAGGTGTGACCGAGTCGCCACGGAAATAGAGCTGCGTCGAGGATTTCGGTTTTGATGTTAGCCAGACAGCCACTTTGGGCAAAAAGCGTGATTTCGAAAAAGGATGTCAGGGTCATATTAGTGTTTGCCAAAAGCCACTTTCAGGCTTTCTCTGTTTCGCCTCCAGCTGAGCTAAATGTGCCGCGAGTCCCCGAGGATTGGAGCTTGTCCCCTCAGTTTGGCTCCAAAGTCCTCAATCGTTACAAAAAGAAATGTGGTTTAAAGCGTTCCGCTTCTACCTTTTTGTCTCTCGGCTGAACAATCATGAGGTGTCACTTATGACTCAACAAACGAGAGTTTTGTCCAGTCAAACCAGAAAAAAAGGACTCACACTGTGAATCGCTGAGTCACCATGTTGTTTATTTGGAAAAATGTAATGGTTTTATTCAGTTTGCTTCCCTGTAGACACGCAATGTTCTAGCTGGTGTTTGCTGACTCACAGTGTTCCTAGATGATCTTGTGCTTTACCGTGAAGCCGTATAATCAAAACTCCCTTTGTTGTGCACGTGTGCTTGTTTGTCTGTTGTCAGCCTCCACAACGTGAACTGTTTCTTTCCAATAAATTGAATCAACCCTGATTAAGGCCTTCGTAAAGCTTCATGAATGAAACAGTAAGTGGACGTGAGCTAGGTGGGACTAATGAGAGAGTAGTTGACAGTAATGTAGGTATCGCCGAGTCAGCTGGGATGGATGGATATAAAGGGCTGGACAAAGATGATGAGAGAGGGACAGCAAGGGTCTGTAATAAAGGGAGGTCAAAGGTAAAGGAGGGGTGAGAATGAGGGCAGAAACCAGGAGTCTGGACGGCGGAGGGTCGGAGGTTAGTGACAAAACATGAGGGAGAAGAGGAGAGGGGAGGATGGGTGTGGCGGGACTGGTGGAGGGAATTGAGGGATTGGAGTGGTGAGACAGGTCGGCTGACTCAGTCGCATTCCCGTCACCCAGATTTATAGCAGCTCGGGGTCCTGAGACAGGCCCGGAGCCACGGCCAAATTACAGTCATCTCCAGCATTCCTCTGCTGCAAACACAGGTTTGCAGCCCGGCCGCGTTAAGTGCTAGGTGCTGCCCGTTGACAAATGACTTCCTTTGAAGGGCACAAAGGGGAGAGAGAGACAGCCCAAGAGGGGCAGAGCGTTTACTGTGCGAGGGCAGGGAGTCACACAGTCTGCGCTTCTTTTGTTGGAAAGCCTCTCTGAATGTTTGTATGCATGTTTGGGTGTGTGTCAGCCCGCGTATTGTATGTTTTTTTACAACGTGGGCACTCCGACCACAGCCTCTGTCCCGTCTGGAGCCTCAGCTCCCAGCGGAGGGTCGTAATCCACTCACAGACGTACAGTTACACAGAGTGCGTGACCTCAGTTTAATGCCAGGTTCCCAGGCCGCTAATGGCCCTAATAGCACGTCCATCCCAGGGCTGAATTCTGACCCCCAAATTTGTATTTTTTTCAAAGGCAGTTCCCACATTTGTGACGGGTTACGCTGTCTCGTGATATCCGGAGCCCAAATGCAAATGAGAAAATCTGTTATTAAAGTTGGTGGACAAATGTCTGATGAATGTTGGTGTGTTTTCTACAGGCGTTCACAGGCACCAGTCCCAGGACATATCGGGGTATTATTCCCTCCCTCCAGGCGGTGTGGGCCAAATCACTCCGTCCATGAGCTGGTGAGTCGCAGATGCTCAAACACTTTTTTTTGTTTTTTTAAATGTCATAGACACAGCATTCTCTTTACCACAGTGTGAAGTACTGAAGTAGTACTTCAGTATCAAGTATCTTATGTTGAATCAATTTAAAGAACATTATGCTGATAATCTAATAAAAATAAGCATTAAATACTTTTTTGAGAGGAAAAAATTCTTTGCTATGCATATTTTGGTTTTGTTTTTTTACAGCAGCAGGAAATTTGAACATGGATTTTTCCTTATTCTTTGAAAATGTTAATGAAAGATTGTAGCCTTTTTTTTCGCATGACCATAAGAAATAGGACTCAATGGTTAGCTAATGTAGCCCTAAGCCCACAAAGACTTTTTCTAACTTCCTGAACTTCATCATCTTCTCTTGAAAGCACCCCGCGCTGTACACTCTGACCCAGGTCAGAGGAGCATTCATCACCAGCTCACCTGCTGTCAGGGTAGTGAACTCAAAATCCCGTCGTCACGGAGACCTTCCTCTTTGATCCTGTGTGTACAGGACTCCAAACTTCAACTCGTGGCCCCTGGTGAAAACTAAAAGAATGTGCACAACTGCTGAATTCAAATGAAACTCCAACCTGAATGATGTTTCATCTTCCTTGCTTTTCGGATTGTTAAGACCATAACGTTCACTTGACTTAAGGTTGAATTTTAGATTTGTTTCACTCAGTGGACCGGCCTTTAAGGTTTTTGTTTTCAGCTTTTCACCCACAACAATTTTTTGGTCACACGGCTCCATTTGGTTCGTTTCTGATGGGCTGCAGCCTAAAACGGTCACATCTGTTCCATCTCCTCTAGTTTCCCTTTGGGTTCGATCACAAACTCGCGTTGTCGGACGACTGTTGATGACTGGATCAGCACAAATCCATTTATTGCAACCTGCGGAAAATCTGCGCCGGGACAAATCCCCACGCAGAAAGAGTTAAAGGCTTACATCAAATGTCACGGAGATTTGGGCTTTAAAAGTTTGCGTTTTTGCTTACATGTGCGGGACACACTGTCGTCCGTCCCCGGACAGCGTGTTATCTTTTCAGACAAGAACACTTCGACATGGATTTGTATGAGCATTATTAACAGATAATCTCCTTTAACCCAGATTATGAGCTCGTTTTGGCCCCTCGTAGTGAGCCCCTTCGTCGAAGGAGGAGGAGGGGCGAACATGCAGTTAAAATGTCAAACTGTTGTTTTCTGCTGCTTTTAGCTCTATACTGGGAGTCCTGTCCCTCCATGGCCACCTCTCCATGTCCCCTCCGGACTGTTGGATTACTGGCTAGTCGCCTCACACCAGGATGAAGTCAGTACTTACTGGGGACCTGCTTTGTTTTGTCCTTTTGAGCTTTGCAGTTGCAACCGCTGTGGTGTGAACACAAGGCTCACAATAAGTGGGCAACAAAAGACAGAAAAATGATGCGACTACGAAACTTTGGCCTTGATTGGCTCGACTTGTTGGAGCCGACAGGCCGGGTTTCCTCAGCAACTCTCTCTGAGAGCGACAACAAGGTGCAGAGCAGCTCGAACAGAGTGGGTTGTGTAGCTTTTCATGTCATTCCCAGCATACCTCTGTTCAGTCACGCCTCTCACAAACTGTAGGAGGAGGTTTTTCTGTTTGACTGTGCTTCCACTCAGGAGCCGCTGTCAAAAAAGAAGAGAGATTAAGTCTGATTGACGGATTGTTTGTTCAGTTCTACTGTGAGTGAGATTTTTTTTTTTTTTTTAAAGTGGCTTCGGTTGGCCTTCCTTTTATCTGAGCAACACTTGAGCAGTGTTACCCGATTGGTCTGCTCCTTCAGGAGCTGAGGCCAGCATATTTTGAGCTTTCAGCAAAAAAAAAAGTTCAACCGGGGAGAGGAGAAGTGGAAGTATGCGTGATGATTATGATGATTGTAAAGGTAGTCTAAATGATAGATGTGGATTGAAGCTTGTGTTTGCATACACTGGAACGCAAGGATGAATTAGCTGTAGGGGGGATGGTTGTATTGGCACCCAGGAGGTACAGTTTTCTACATATCAAAGGCTCTGTCTTCCACTCCGTCCCCACCCTCGACCTCCCACGGTGTGTGTGTTTGTGTTTGTGCTCCCACTACATAAGCCCAGTGCTGGCACACAGCTTACAGCTGCGCTGATCCAGACTTTTCACTCTGCATCCAAGCATCAGAAGAAGATTCAAGCCTTTTGAATGACTTTAAACACATTTGGTCTACCCAGTTTGATACATTAGAAGCATGAAAATAAAAGATAAATTTTTTCTCCAAGCAACAATTGAGAAGGAAATAAAAGGAAGAAATAATAGTTTATAGAGTTTTATAAAAGGTAGACAACTGAATAACGACCATTCCAGCTAAACAAGGCTTTTTTTTCTGTATTACTATTGTCAGTTTTGAAGCTTCTCCTCATTTTCACCCAGATTCAACTGGTTATGCTTTAAAGTTGACATTCAAGCAGTTGAAGCTTTCCTGAAACATGAAACCAAAGTTTCAAAAACTTTCACCTGTAAAATCTAAAAGCCACAACCTGGTGCCGTCTCTCCCTCTCTGCTGTGCTGTGGCAGGCAGAGCCAGCCAGTCTATCCTGCCCTGTCCCCCTGTGGATTCAGGCAACCCTACTCCTCCAATCTCCCCAGCGCTTCGTCCTACTCCAGGTACCGCAGACCGAGCCGGTGGGGAAAAAAAAAAAAAAAAGCTACAAAGCAGAAACAAAAGCAATGTCGCGCATCAGTGTCAACTCCTGTTTATGGCGCTTTTAAACTGCCTGAGCTGGAGTTTTCCCTTCGCCGTGGCAAACTCGTGTTTGGCCTCTCTGTCGGATTAAACTGGACAGTAAGCGTACTGTAAACAGCACCAACCAGCCGGGTCAAGCCAAACTGAGCTTAGCCCAACTAAAGCTGCTACATGTGTTAGATACTATTTGGACAGCCACTGTTTGTCTACTGCTGCTCTGTTTCTTTTATTGTTCTGTTGTGTTGTGCTTGTCCGTTTGTTTCCTTGAGCATCAATGCCACAGTCGTCCCAGAAGAACAAAAATTAAACATGGTTTAATGTCCCTTATTAGGACCAGCACACATTTGGGACATGCTTTCTCTTTGCCCATGCAGATTTATCCAGCCTTTCCTGTGGTTTGTTTAGACTGTCTAATGCCTGATAAGTGGGAAAATATCTCAATTGAAAGCTAATGTTTTATTTTTTCCATGGATTCGGGTTGGGAAACCAGTTTGTATTCTCCAGTTTCAGAGCCATGTACATTCCCTTTTTATTATCATCTCACTTTTTTTATGGCACATGAACTGTCAATCCCACTTATTAACGCCTGGAGGCTTAAACAAACTAACATGTTCACTTAGCTGCTGGAAGCCACCAGTAGGATGGCGCTCAGAGCTGCTTACATTTCAGCCCGCTCTCACAACACACAAAAATCATCTGTTGCTCTTTGACCTGAAAAGCTTAGTGGCAAAAGAAGAATAATCCTCCAGTGGTGGATGAGTGTTTTCTTTCACTTGCAACCTCTTCTGCTCTCTGTGATTCTTGAGCTCCCTCTAGTGGGGATGAATTGCAATGTCGCTTCAACATCAGCGAAGTGGTAATGAACCTGTTTGGACCACCAGCCAACAGTCACTCCTGCTGTCTGTCCTCTGAGGCACTTTCTACTATTTGAAGTTTAATTTTCATTAGTTTGAAGACAACAGAAAACAGCGTTGTTCTCAAGTTAACCCCTGCAGTGTCGTAAAATCGCCCCCAAGGCATCAGATGATCACCCAATAGGCTTATCGTGCTTTCAGGCTAATTGCTTCCCCAGATCTCCCGCACCTGCTTTGTCGCTCGCCGTCCAATCTGCCGCTGGCTCTTCGCATCTCTCTGAGGTCACCTCTCTATCACTGTTTCTTTTTTCTACTGGTATTTTGTGCTCCGTCCACCAGGTTCCCCCACTCACTGATGCTCGGACCATCGGGCATGCATCCTACGGGGATCCCCCACCCAGCAATAGTGCCTCCCTCAGGCAAACAGGAGCACGACCAATATGACAGGGGCATGTATGTGTAAGTATGCTCCACCCTTCCTGTTGTAATCACCAACTTGAAGCTCAGTCCCATTCCGTCTCTGCACTTAACCTGTTAAAATATTTGTGACTGCAAATATCAGCCAATTGCTGACTTGCATGATCATGAAATGTTAAAAAAGAAAGAACACAATTGGCATTAGGCGGAGATTAAAAACTTGTCCTCTTCTTCGTCATCATCCTTCAGGAAGCCACAGGTGGAAGCCAAGCGGGAGAAAGAGCCCAAGAAACCAGTCATCAAGAAACCCCTGAACGCCTTCATGCTGTACATGAAGGAAATGAGGGCAAAGGTCATCGCCGAGTGCACGTTAAAGGAGAGCGCCGCCATCAATCAGATTCTGGGGCGACGGGTGAGGGATGCACACGCGCACGTTGACACAAAGGGGTTATCCATTTTCCAGGTCAGCCCATAGTTTCACTTGTGAGCAACATGAGAGGTTAGAAGGTGATAAGGTGAAGCAATGCTGCTGAGACAACAGCCCCTGGCCTGTGAAAGTGGGTTATCGCTGTGCTTCCCTTCAGAAAGAGTGTAAAACAGCTGATCTTAACTGATTCAACAGTTTTCACATACATTGCCCAACAAAAGTCTTGTCACTTGGGTACAAGTTGACCTTAAGTGCCTCTGAAATATATGTCTAATCATTTTATTTTTACGAGAAATAGCTCATTTCAATCCCAACATCTTTTTAAATGATGTTTTGGTGCAGGATGAAACTGCTGAAACGCATTCTAACATTCACAGCTAGGTAAAGCCCACTGAGTCACTTTATGCAAAGACAAATATCTTGTCACTTTGTCACATGATGCACCCAATCCCAGATTACAGCCTTGCCTGTGAGCAATGATTGATCAATCAATTAGTGGGTGTGTATAAGGAAAACCCATCTTCAGTGTGTCTCAGCGTCAAGTACAAAGAATAGAAAAAAGATTTGAAGAGACTGGAGATTTTTTTGACAAACCCAGGTCAGGCAGACCCTCCAAGACAGCTGCTCAGGAGGACCGTTTGTTGGCTCGAAAATCCAAGGGCAGCCCCTTTTGGACTGCAGCAGAGCTTCACCAGGCCTGGTCGCCTCAAGTTCCTGTGTCAACTAGAACAGTTTGAAGAAATCAGTCTGGAAATGGCCTCCATGGTCGAATCAGAACCAAAAAACCAGCACTAAATAAAAGGCTTTAAAAAAAGACACAAGGGATTTGCCAAGGCCCACAGCCTGGCAATGATCCTGGATGCTGGAACAGTGGGAGAAGGTGGATATCGGGGATGAATCTTCAGTTGAATTACACCACAGCCGCTGTAAATGTAGCAGGAGACCTACTGAAGCCTGCATTTATCCTAGATTCACCCAGGAAACAGTTAAGTTTGGTTGCAGAAAAATCATGGCCTGGGGTTACATCCAGTGTGGAAGTTTGCAAGAGATCTCCAGGGTGCAAGGCTACATCAATAGCCTAACGTATCAAGAAGTACATTACACTACATGTCATTCACTCACACACACACACTAGTGGATGGATCAGTAGCTAACATCTGGAGGAACATGGAGTTGATCAACTGATCTTCCAATCACGAGGCAACTCCTCTTCCACCGTGGCCACAGTGTTTTCTAAGTTACATTCAAAGTTACAGTAAAAGTTGATTGTTCACTAATTATTTTGTATGTTTGTTTTTTTTTTCCTTTCTTGGTGTGTCCAGTGGCATGCTCTGACCCGGGAGGAACAGGCAAAGTACTACGAGCTAGCCAGAAAGGAAAGACAACTGCACATGCAGCTCTACCCAACTTGGTCTGCTAGGGACAACTACGTAAGTTCTGACTTTCACCCCCTCCCCTCCGTCTCATCTCTGTTGTTGTCTTTTTATCCATGCCTCAAACTGCTACCATACCTTATCAAAATGAGGAGCTCAGTTACAAAAGCACGAAAGCACTACCATGTTTAAGCTCTTCAACAAACTGAACTCACAAATTTAAGATCTGGGCTGTGGTCGGAACCTAGATCTCTAGATCTGTCGAGTAAAGACGTCACTTGGTTGCTATGGTTGCTGTGAGCCGGTAGCATCAAAAAGAATCTTATCTAATCTTACAAATATTGTGTTTACGTATTATGTGATGTGACAATTAAGTGTGTTTGAAATTAAATTAAACTCATATGGAATAAAAAGCAGGTTTCTGAGAGCTGTTTACACTTTGGGAAATTCTATTACCACCAGTTTATAATGTAACTTCACAGTGACTTTTAAGTGGCTCCTGTAGGCCAGGAGCTGCACTCTGGGGCGGGAGGGGGACTCTATCTCTGCTGTGATTCCCTGTAAATAAAACAAGTGAGGGAAACAAAAAAGCCAGTACATTTTTTAGGGTTCTCCTTGCCTCAGAGCTGAACAGATATCTTGCTCATTGACTAATGATTCAACAAGCAGCACAGCTGCAGGCTCCCAGGCCTGATAATGATCAGTATAACAGACCAACCTGTGTGGTGCATGCGTGTTTTTTTTTGTTTTTTTGTTTTTTTAGTCTAATGTTTTGGGGATGTGCTCAGTCTAGGCTGCTGTGTGCCTCTCACTTCTCAGTTTGCTGTTGAACTCTTGCAGGAGGCGGGCCTTAGCGGGGTCGCAGGGGAAAAGAGTAAAGCTGATTGGGTAGGGATACGTCTTATGGTGGATTTATACCTCTGTGGTGGAAAAAATGAGTGTGTGCCGAACTGCATGACAGGGGGTTGTGGGTATTTCTGTGCAAAGTTTTGCATGCACCTTCCAAAAAAAATCTTAATGACTCACACGCTCCGAGCCTCACAAACAGCATGCAGGCACTGGCGGCCGTACGGGCGAATCCAAAGCCCAGATCCAATTGGTCACTCATGGAGACATCTTTGACTTATTGGCCATTAAACACTATTGCATTACACAGAGGTATAAATCAGCCCGTTTTGCTCAACTAACAGAGAGCAGGGCTGCATGGCTGACCTCACTGCCTCCCGTTTATTTATTTTCCCTTTTGAAGCATCTTTTCTTGTGTCAGTCCAACTTTACCACATCGCGTCTGAAGAGAAAACATGGTGGTAAATAGTCATCGTCAGCTCCGGGCTGAAAGGGAAGATGCTGCGCATTCATGTTAGACACGCCTTTGATCCATAACCTGTTTATGCTGCTCTCATTATTTACACATTATTTGCTTCTCTCGGCGCGATGGAGTCCGCACATGGACGGCATACCAAACACCCGACAGACGGACACTACTCTGATTTCCTTCTGTAAAACACCAAAGATGGCAGGGCAAAACCAGATACCAACTTGGGATCTCACAAGGCAGATCTTAAATCACTTTGATTCACAGGTTAAGGAGGTTGAGGTGAAACTTGATCTCAAAACCAAGCAAACAAAGAGCACTTTTCGTGACGATATAGTGGACAGGACTTGTAAATGTTGTCTGGAGCAGCCGACGACTCCCCCTCCTCCCTACCCCGGTCTCCTTGTGAGTTAAAAAGTTGTCAAAAAGTTTGCGGGCCCACGAGTGCAACAGGAAGAGAAGCTTTCGCGTCTCACCCCCGCACCTGTCGAGGGCTTCTCCTCCAAGTCAGCGTGCGCACACACACGTACACCCACAGACAGGAGAAGCGTCATTTACAAGAGGAGTTGTTGTAACCACATAGACAACGCTGACAGCGAGCCGAGGAGGGCAGACGTCGAAGCGTAGGCGGTAGATTTCTGTACCCACATCCTTCATCTCAGCCAAATATGAGGGCTCACTCCACCGTGTGTGCAGCTCTGATGTTTACCTCAGCAGTCGCACATCACAATCAGCACACACACACTGCGACACACTGACAAAAATACCAAAGCAAGGGTTTTTTTTTGTTTTTTTTTCTTTCTTAAATGAGGGGAGGCAGAAGTTTTTTCAAACAGGTTATTTTGGATGCATCTCAGGCTGCATCCTCGGGAGCGTGCTCAAGGTTTTTGCATGAACCAGAGCGTTACAGCCACTGAATTAACGCAACGTATCCCCTCGTTTTCCCTCCTTTTTGCTTTCCTCTCGCTTCATGAAAGGCATTGCCTGACCTGGTTGCTGTGTTTCTCTTCCCACTTTCCAGTATCAATCTTCAATATTCAGCTGTTGTTGTTTTGTTTTGTTTGTTGTTTTTTTTACAGAAAGTGTGAAGTTGCTGTTGATTTGAGACAACAGTTTGTGACTTTTCATCATGCACCGTATCAGATCTTTACTCACATTACCAGCCAGTCATGATATTTGATAGATATGCATTTATGAGCGAGCAGCTATGCTATAAAAAGTCCCATTATTTAAATAAAAAAAAATGGATTGATCTGAGTGTGTAACCCAGCTTGAGACAAAGCAAACAAATCGATCATTTCCAGCCCCAACGGAGAATTTGTCGCAGCGCAGTCATTTCCACAGCTGAGCCAGACTCATTTCACTGAGGGGCGGGTTGTTTGTTTGTTTCTCCCACAGGGCAAGAAGAAGAGGAGAAAAAGGGAGAAGCAGCAGGACGCCAACACAGGTAAACATATGAAGAGCTTCCTGTGAACAAGTGACCAGCGTTTGAAAGGGCCCAGGCAGCCTGAAGGCGTGTTGGCGCTCTGGAGGAGCGTCTGAGTCTGAGGCAGGATGTGTCTCTAGCGTCAAACCGTCCACCCACTCTGCTTTCCACCTAACCTGAATTATAGACACAGCAATCCCTCGGTGCGAACCTCTCATGCCCTGCTCCCCGCTTAAGATCGAAGAGATTTTTTAACTCCGACAGTTGCTTGTAGTCCAGTCACACAAAGATTGACCTGCTGTCTCCCACTTTTCTATTCTCGGCCAATCGTCTGCACAGTTAGGCAGGACAGGCGAGGGACAGGTGCTAAAACAAGAACGTTAAGCACAGAAGTGTGACAAAGAAAGAAGGGGAAACATTTTTTGCTGCAACAAAGTTATTGTTTAAAACCCTGAAATGAACCTGCAAGTTAGAATGATATGGGCTCTTGAATAATCTGATTCATGCAGTGACTTCTGAAAATGTGTCATTTGATTTTATCTGTGCATAACCCAAGTGACCCTAAAAAAATGTAATTAAATTAAAAAAAGCTGAGACACCGTGTAAATTAAAACAAATGCAATGATTAGCAAACACAGCAAACCGATCGATCAAAGAAAACTAACCAAACAAACAGACTTTTTTATTCTGTCGTTGATTATTACACATCTCAGAGGCAATACTAACAAATAATTGAAGAGGAAGAAGCTGGGATGGGGCAAACGTGGTAAACGGCACAGAGTAGTAAAGAGATGGTTTAGCACTGAGGATAGGCACAGCCTCCCAGACCTAAAGCTTCAGCTAAATCCACAACTGGATGATCATGTTCGGGGACTCAGGCCCTACAAAGCCGACCTGACCGTCGTTTATATCACAGAAGATGGCTGTGTGCTGGAATCCAGGAAAGGAACTACATTCCTCTCCCAAAGGTCCGGCAGCTGGTCTCCTCAGCTCCCCGATGTTTACCGACTGATGTCAGTAGAAGAGCAGGTGCTACACAGACCCTGTCCCAACCTTTTTGAGCCCGTCCAGTTCAAGCTGAGGTGATTTTTTTCTTCTTCAGAAATAGCTAAATGTCTCAATATTGATCAATATTTTTTCCACTTTGGATTCTCGTGTCGATGAAAACTGACTTCTTTGTGTTTTTGATCATTGCATTTGGTTCGGAGCTATGTTTTCCTCAGCATGCCAGCTTTTTTTTAAACTTCTGGTTGCCTCACAGCCCCGATGCCCTCGCTCTGTATGTCTCTGTCGTGTCAGACCTCCTCTTGGTTGTCGGTGATGCGCCGCGCAGTAACATTCCACTAACGTTTGAGCGGGTGACCCTCTCTCTGATCAGGCAGTGACCGGCCCGTGTCTCTGCCCTGACCCAGGCTCGTGTTCCTCTCTTCCTCTGTCCACGTCCTCATCCTCTAACCTTGTTCCCTCTGCCTCTGCCTCCTGTCTGTTTTTGCTTCTCCTCCTCCTCCTCCTCCCTGTTTTTGTGCATGCCGCGCTCCGGGGCTCAGACCCGGGCTCTCCTAAGAAATGCCGGGCTCGCTTTGGCCTCAACCAACAAACGGACTGGTGCGGCCCCTGCAGGTGTGTACCATCCGACCCCCGACCCCGACCCCCACCTCACCGCGCCGCCCTGCTCCCGCTGTGCCTTTCGACTGTGCGCAACTCTTCCTAATCCCTCATCTCACTATCATTTGTTTTTGCAAATCCCCTTTTATAGATTAACTCTGCCTGCAAAGAATCCACCCCAACTAACCTCTGCATGCTCACCGTCATTAACCTGCTCCTTCACAGATTACTATCAAACTGATAACGCCTACAGTTTGCACCCAGTAGGAACCCTTTTTTTCAAAGGAAGTGACTTATTTTGTTTTGTTGTGAAAGAGCAGGACTGTTCTACTAAGCAGCGACACAAAAAAATAGCACTTAGACATCCAGACTTTCACAAGTTAGTAAGGTCAGCACAACGGTTCCAGGCCAGGGTTCCACCATTCCTGCTATAATCTCGTGGGAGCCAACCTCTCCCCCTGAACGTTTGACCGGGAGGAAGAGAGAAATGCACATCTCATCCATTCTCTTCAAACACTTGACAGCTCAAGTGTAGTTTGCTTCACAAAGGAGGGGGATAAACTAAAGTTTTGGGGATTTTCACTTCAGACAAGCCTGTTCCAGGACAATAGCCAAGCTAAGGGACTGAGTATGAATATTTAACAATGTATATGATATTTAGGATGTTTAGTTGTGTGTTCTGTGATGCCACGGAGAGAAAAAGTTTGGGGAAAAAATGCTTCAAGGGGCTCTTTCACCTCTCTCCTTCTTGGAGGGAAGTCATTTTGGATGACTGGGTGAACGCGCCTACCTCCAGCTCCAATCCAAACATTCTGCCACTCAGCCCGGTCCTACAGTCAGGGATCTGTGCAGTTCTGCAGAAGAAGAACCCCCCCCCCCCCAAAAAAAAAAAAGCTTCTACCACCACAGCCCTGCAGCAAACCCCACTGTCCTCCCCTCTATCGCGTCATGGAAATCAGTGTGTGCGTGTGTGTGTTTCGGTTTGAGAGAACAAAGGGGGCTGAATGTGGTTTTGAGCAAATCCTTATCACCACAGCCCAACACACACACACACACACACACACACACTCATATGCTCCTTGCAGCACTCCATTTTGACAGCGTTCTCATGCCCATCTGCTTTCAACTTTCTCCTTTCATGCGATGTGGTAACAGGCGCCTTTTGATGGTGAACTCTGACATTTAGAAATCACTTTCTATTGCACTCTTCCTCCCGTTCTCTCGCTCTGTCTAAATATGGCCTCGCGCCTTTCCTTGCGGTTAGACCCGGTGACTCATATCATGTTCTGGTAATGATCATGGGATCCTGTTAACTCCTTTGATGCTTCACTCGGCGGCGCAGGGCTCCGCTTTTAAGTTTAACACCTCAGAGGTCGCAGCAGGCCGCCGCGAAATCCTGTCTTTTCCCTCCAAACATGTGACGGCGCGGCTATCGCGCCGGCGGCGCTTTTTTTTTGTTGTGGGGAAACGATGGACGCCGCAAGGCCGATTACGTTTTGAGTCACCTCCCGTCGAGTCCCACCAAACCGAAAGATGAGCTCATCGCCTCAAAGCGGGTCATTATTAACCAGGGGTTCCGACTTCTCAACTGGAAGGAAGTCTTTCGTTTCCTTTTTTTCCGCAGAGACTTTAAAGTCCTGTGAGGTTCTAGCTTGACAGACAGAAAAAGGCACAGGCCCATAGCATGATAACTCCACCTCCGTGTTTAAGAGTTGAAGAGGTGCTCAGAGACATTTTAGCAGATGTTACTCTGATTGAGGCCTGATGTGCTGGTGCGCCCAAACCTTTTAAATCATGAGCAATCTTAGCCTCCAGCTAGTGCCGCATCAGCACAAAGTGGCAACAACACAATATATAAGACGATTGTCTTATAAAGATGTTGTTGCATGTTTTGGAGCACCTCCTTCCACATAGTGCCAGGTGTTAAACTAAAGCAGCAGTACTTCATGGCATCTAGCTTTCATTTAGCATGAAGACAGCAGGTTGGGTCTTTATCGGTTACCAGCTGAGTGATTATCCAGGCGTGTGCAGATGTGACCTAACACTCCTGTTTGTGATCATGTGTCTCCATGTTCATTGAACTCACTGTGACTGTTACATCCCCACTGACGCCTGCTGACCTTTACCATCCACACTTTATTCACAGATAACTCTCTCTGACTGTTCCTAGGAGGAAAAAGAAGTGCATTCGCTACCTTCAAGGAGGAGGCTGCCCCAGCCCAACTTCTTCAGATCTAAGTGCTATAGACTCTCCCCCCTCCCCGCCCCCCGCCCCCCACCGCCACATCTACCAGCGCCCGCCCTCCCCGGGCTGCTCCCCGCCTCCCACGTCCCCGCCGTCGCGCCCCCCCTTCCCCCAGCACACGCGCCCACACACACGCTTCCCCCCGGAGCCCCGCCCCCCCCCGGCCAAACTCCGCCCCTCGCAGCTGGAACTGCCCAGCAAGCAGACGCACTGCTCCACCCCGCTGTCAGCCGCCAAGGTGGCCGGACTGTCCCTCAAAGTGCTCACAGACGCTCAGTGACCGCTGCCGTCTGTTCACCGCGCGTTCCCCCAGAGCCACGAAGATCGACCCCCCCCCACCCCCCCCCAACCCCCGCCTCCATTCTCTCGTTCCAATTCGTTAGACGTTGCTCTTCTGCTCGGTTTTCAAACCCATCAAGCTCAAAGCTCCACATTTCCACTCCAGACGCAGCATCACCAGCAGGCCTCTGGGTCTCAGTGTCTCCCTAACAAACTCCTCAGGGTGTCCATCTCACACAATAGACTAGCATTCTGTTCGTTACGATATTGTCAAGTAGCATTTGGGAGGGAATGAACCTCCAATCACAGGAGTTAACAAAAACCAACCTGCTCCGACGGCTCTAACCCCTCCCCGTCGACCGGTTTGCAGAAGGGTAATCCGTCGAATATTTTTACAGGCAAACCCGTGATCATGACAATCAGCTGTTTCTAGCTTTTAACTGAGATCAAGCATATCTTTTTGTCTTTCTTTTTTCCTGAAAAGAGGCTTAGATCATGTACACTTGTCAGAGTCCACCCCACAGCCTCCACCCAACCAATGAGAGGAGATTTTAAGAGGGACTGACTTCATGTTTTTTCAGCTTTCATTTCACAAATAATCAGCTTTATTTGACATATTTTCAATACCAACCTGTCCAGGTCATTTGACTTTTAAGAAACAAGAAATATATATATTTTCAGCGGGTAAAGACATTTGACATCTTTAAGGCACTTGCGGGCTGTCAATCACCAGCTTCTACCATTACTGTTTTGTTGTTTCGTTATGTTTGTTTTTTTTTTCTGTCATTTTAAAGGTCAGATGTTTTGCTCACAGAGAAAAAGAGGCGATTTCTTTTTTTTTTAAAGTCTTTTATGGCTTTTATTCCTTTGACTGATCTGCAGCTCTGATAACTAAATCTACGACCAAATAGGTACTATTATATTACATTGTAAAGTTTTATATTATAATTGAGCTTTTGTATGTTTTTATTAAAAAAATTTAACTATGAGAAAAAAAAAAAGTTTAAATTTAGTTACCAGTATTTCTGAAAGCGACGTTTCTGTGTTTCTCCTTTTGTGCGGAAACGCGTTACTGCAGCGGCGTTCAAACTACATGTTGTGTTCATCAGTCTGTGCATGTTCCAGCGTTATTGTAACATTTTGAGTATCGAAGAAAAAACAAAAAGAGGCTTTAATTTACTCTTCAGCTCCCTAGCTTCAAACAGCTTCTGACTGTCGGGTGTCAGTCGCCTGTATGTACTGCCTCCCGCCAGCAGAGGGAGCTCTTGTGTTAGAAATGTCTTGTTTCCGCTCGAGTCAGTGGCCCAAACACCTGGAAGGTGTCTGTATTTTATGCCTTGAACTCCTTGTGTATTACTCATGTTCTTTTGTTGTTGTTTTTTTTTTTTTTTATTGCCTTGAACTCCTGTTGTATTTCTCGTGTTTTTGTTTGATGTAATAAAGTGTTTGGAACATCTTGTTTGTGGCTGATCGCTGAAATGACTCCAAAAGATGCAACTGGCAGCATCAAAACAGAAACCACACACTGTCCGTTCACTGGGTTTTATTTATTCCTTCAGCGGGTTTGATCATTCCAAAAAACCAGCATCGGAGCTTGGCTGAGAGAAGTTTCGAACTCAAAAGAATTAGGAACGAGCTACCCAAAGCCGTGTGGCGGGACACTAATCTGAAACACACTGCTACCTCAAACTTCCCTATTCCCCCACCCCCGACCAACAGCTGCTCCTGAGGCGGCTTCACGAAACTGATGCTTTTACAGGTCAAAAATAACATTCAGCCTTGCTGTTCTATAGTCAAAAAAAGCTATTTTATTTCATTCATTTAATCGGAAAGAAAACAAAAACGTCCAGTAAAAAAAAAAAAAAAGACGACCAGAGCGATTAATGACTTGACACCTGAAGGGACCGTCTTTCATTTTTCTTTACAAATCCCAAAGCCGAGAAACCAGAAGCATTTCATGTGGATGCACAATCGGGGAGTGAGAACAGTAGCAAGCGTCTGAGCTTTGAATTAATGACACCACACATGTAAGTTAAATGTTCATGCTATTATTGGTTTACAGAAATAAAGGGAAGCAGGAGGGTAATGGGGGGAGGGGAGGATCCTAAATATACTAAATGTCAATATAAACAAGTATGAACAATGCCAGTGCAACCAGTTAGAAGGGACAATCCTTTTCAGTGTGGTAGTGTTGGCAGGATCTCCCCCCTTTACTTCTCTTCACACCACTGGTTCTCTTTGCGTACCTGTGGACAAAAAGAAATACACGTTCCAGATGATTTACCACAACGGTGAAAAGGTCACATTAACTCTAAAGAAAGTGTCTTTTAAATCTGAGATCTAGAATAAGACCGTGTTTTCCTGGAAGGTGGTGGCTGGCGTACGTACCTGGGCTTCCTCTTCCTCTGTAAAATCATTTTTGATGTTGAACGTCTTCCTGATCTCCTCTGGGGTTTTGCCTTTGATCATGTTGGCCACCGTCTTGCAGGTGACATCTAAGAGGCCTTTGATGTCCAAATAGTTGGCGGCCTGGAACAGAAAAACGGCTAAATATGAGGAGACGGAGGGATTGTGGCGAGAGAAAACACACAGACGGACTGAAACCACGGCGGGAAGAATTAAAGGGAATTTTGTTTATTTTGGGGGACTCCGACAATGGAACTAAGAACCGTTTTCTAGTAAATCAACGAGGCCGAGCAGTATGACTTTCTATTCCTCAAACCTGGTGAGGACCAGCTGGTGCTGTAACTGAATGCTCTAGTATTTGTTCAATCTTGTGACTGCAATTAAATGAATTAATTTATACATGTCCGATACTAGGACATGAAAATAAAATGACATTTTTAAAAAGTAGGAACTTATTTAAACTGTACAGAAGATGTAAATTTGTGCTCCAGTAAACCCAGCTCGATCTTCCAACGTGTGTTTCTTTTCATACAGCAGGTATCCGGCTCATTTATAAACGCAGCATCATCTCCTTCTGTGCTCGTAAACAGGTTAAAAACAGTCGGGGGTGGGGTTCAGCGTCTCCAGTTACTTGTATTTCCCCATCCTGAGAGCCCACATATGTACCAACAGCTAAATTCCCGTCTCTGGGGGGGGGGGGGGGGGTTACTGAGGGTTACCTTCACGTCTACTCTGACTCCATCTGAGAGCGTTCTTCCGACATCCCTGTCTCTTTAAAAGCACCCACACCAAACAACCAATCATGCAGCTGTTGCTAAGCAAGATTTGTATTTTGAATCCAAGTTTCGGACTAATTGTACTGGATGGGGTGCCTGGAATGACAACTTCAGATGAAGGTGGAGGAAAGAGTTCTAAACATAGAATACAACGAGGGTTTTGTTTACGTTCGACGCTCTTTGGTGCATAGTTAAGCTATCCAGAGACAACTCTGGATCCTCAGAGCAAATTCTTCCAAAACAGAACCTAGACATCAATAGACGACGTCTGTGAGAACTGTCCACGAGACTCATAAGCAAAAAAAAACAACACTTTGATTTAATTTGTGCTTCCATTCAGCACTAAAGCATCTGAGCCCAGGCACAATCAATATAAACAAGTTGTTCAAATGGAAGAGTTTAGCATGACAAATGTTACATTTACCAGAATAAGTTCGAACAAGGTGCCTTGGTCCACTTTGAGGAACTCCTGGTCCCATACAGGAATGTCGTCCGTCCTCTTCTCCTTGTTCTCATCGTCCTCGGGAGGAGGAGGGTCATCTTTATGGTGAGTGCACCACTGAATCACCTGAGGGGCAAAAACACAGTGTTTATTTGCATCTGAACCTGAGCATCTGGTTGAAAAGGTATTTCCAAAGCGTCAGAGGACTTTTAATGACGGCATGACTCGTGATCCTGTAGAAGAGAGAGGGGGCGATATATGGATAGATAAATAAGGGCCTAATTTAGTTCAAATTCAAATTAATTGAGTTAACTTAGTTCACATTGTATTGATAAATGAAGACCAATAAACTGAGACAGACACAGAGACCACACAACAGCTTTTTCTAAAAGGCTTTGCAGGTCTGGCTTCCACCATCCAGTCAAAATGGTGCGTTCACGGAACTGACAGAACATTTAAACGTTACAAAAAATGTACAAAAAAGTAGAAAATTGTTGTCAAACAAATTGTAGCTGTGGCCTAATTCAATACTTTTATCCACCTTTTTTTTTTTTAACGCAAACAAAATTGTGAAAGAAAGAAAAGTTCAGAGAACTAGAATTTTTTCCGGAAGACCGTTCTGTACCTTCTTCAGGATCGCAGCGTTCACATTCGGCAGGGGAACCGGATCATCGTCTCCTTCATCATCCATGCCCAAATCTGTTAAACAACCACCGGACATTTAGGGCCAACTGTTTTTGTGCACGTTTATGCAGTCGTTTCACAACCAACAGAGTCCTTAAAAAGGCGATTGGGTGCGAGCTGAGAGTTGTACCTTCTAACATGGTTTTGATGGTGACGGACTGTTTGGCTATTTCAACGTCTACCTCGAAGATTTCCCCATCGGAGCTCTGTAGTTTTATCGTGGGCATTATCTGGAAAGGAACAACACATTTCATGTTACACATTGATGAAAAGTTCAGTTTCAATAAAGTGAGCATGCATTAGCAACGTCGCTTTTTATACTTCTTGGGAAATAAGACGCTACGGCTTTCTAATGCTACCGGTGGTTGGATTATCTGTTACAGACATGTAGATGCCACATTATATCAATAGTCCCCTCCGACAGTCACAGAAAAGTGTGCAAATCTAAACGCACCGTTTAGATTTGTGTGTCAGTACCTACGTGCTTCAATTTAACCAGCAAGCGATAACGTTACATCCAGGCTAACTGAAACGGACAAAACGACGACGATGCTAGCCAAGTGGACAGCTTGCAATGTTATTTCGGTGAAAGCAGGTGCGGTCCTTAATGCGTAGCACTCTTAAAAGGTACCTTGTTCCGCAAATAATTCGTTTATGTGAAGTACTGCCCACCGCGTAGCTGCTATTACAATACACAACGCTGTGCTAACATTAGCCTGAGCTAGCATCGTAGCTAACGCTACCGTAGCGCTCCGCTGTGCCCGCGAGGCCTCTTAGCATCCACGTCTCGAGGCGTCTCTTAATTTAGCATTTAAACTGAATTAAACGTCTAATAAGCCTAGGTGTGACCAGAACTCTTAGAATATACGATAGCGAGATTCAGATACGCACCGTAAATAGTTTCAACGCAGGTCCAGAGGTAAATTTCCTCTGTAGTCAACAGCAGGGCCTGACAGACGTTCGTTTGGCGACGGCGGCTGGAAGTCTCTGGATCAACGTCCCGGTGAGCCTACCGCCGCCCTCAGGCTGACGGCTGTTAGTGTTCTCTGCTGGGGGAGGAGGCCGAGGCGCTCCTCGTTTCCCTAAACCTTTTTTTTTCTTTTATTATTATTTTTTTTGTCTGAGGAATTTAAATCAGATTTTACGGCAGCCGGAAACGCGTACAATGTAGAAGCCTGGATTTTTTGCAGAACGTTCTTGTTGCCAAGGACGATTAGTTTTGGTTTGGTTTGTTCTGTAATCTTTCAAACCAGACATTACAGTCCAAAAACGCTGTATATGTATTGTTCTATGTATTTAATTGAAAATCCAAAACATTCTAATGATTATCAGTGTTCACCAAGACAGAAATGTTCACTCCTGTTCAGTACCCATAAATGACTATTCGGAGTTAACTCGATTTATGGATAAAAATGTCCTGAATAGACCCAGGCACACTCACTGACTGGAGCACATTATTGTAATCTATCACAGACTGAGTGTGAGGACCCAACGCTTGTCCAGAGGCAGCAGAATCTGTATTAGGAGGTATCTTTCACTGACCATTATTGTGTGTGCTGTGGTCAGTGAGTGTTCATCACACTTTATTCCAGAAAAATCAGACCTTTTGTAATATGGGCAGTTGTTCAAAGCTGTAGTGTCACAGGTGGAAAACTGCTCCAATCTAACCAGCTCTTCAGTCGGCATGGTAACTCATCATGCCACAACAGGGCTTTGATTTTTCCATGAACTCCATCAATATATTCTTTTGAATCCAACAAATGTGGGCATATTAGGGCAAGTAAAAAACAAAACAAAGCAAAAGGTTGTTACAAAACCACAGGGCAGCACTTTCCTGCTGTGGATCCATTCAGTTTCCAGGATGCCTTTAAAAGCCAGGTCAAAACTTTTGAAGAATCAGTACTTATAGATTTTCCAGTATTAATGCGGGGTTTTGTTTTTTAACCATCAATACAACATGTTCGTATTAACACATTTGTGTCTGTGCAGAAAAAAGTATTAATAACCATTGCATTTTTTTTAACGTTTCAAAGTACTTATTTAAAAAAAAAAAAAAAAAGATATTTGAACATCCTAGTTGTATGAATTAAATTAAATAAATACAAAACAGAACCTGGACATCAAAGAAGCCACCTTTGTCTTTATTTTAGTTTGGTTTATACAGAGTCTGTATTTCAGAGGGAAGCAGTGAGTTGATGAGGATTAATGTTCCATCATCCATCATATAGACCGAGCTCCATCTGCATGAGAAGGTTATACACCATAAACACAGGAAGGAACTTTGTGTAAAGCTTGTCGGATGGGGGCTTTATTTGCAATTTTTAAAAAGAAAAAAAAAAAACATACATAGTGTGAAATCTTTTGACATAAGTTACATATCTTTAAATTTACAAAAGTGCAAACAGATCAGGTTCAGATCTCAGTACATGCCGTGTCCTTTGGGACAGCCACTTTTCAAATAGCAGTATTTTTCTTTTATTTGCCTTGGACCTGTGAGCCTTCAGATCAGCTACATGTGCAGAATCAGGAGTATAAACACCGATGGTGGTTTAAATATTTGGGGGAGGGGGAATATCATAACAAGTCCTCAGCAATGACTGTTGTAATGATTATGGCACACACCATTTGGTCCATCCATACACACGGACACTGCTTTTTGCAAATTGCTTAAATAGGTCTTTGTGTGGATATACAATGTGCACTGCTGTGAAGCCTCCACGGTTTCCCTGACATCCCATTCCTCATTCACACCGATGTCGCCCGAAAGTCGTGTCATGAAAATACTGGACGAGACTGTACAAGGGTCGAAGGGTCAGAGTTTACAGGAAGTAGTCTGGAGTGCGTCGGGTTACGTGAGGCTCCCCTCTACGAGGTGCGGGGTCGAACTGCAAGCTGAGGGAGCACAAAGGAAAACAAAATAAGAACAACTTTTACCACTTAGGTTTCAGTTCTCAATATGCTATATAACGGGGATGTATTCATGAAGCTGAAATTATTTCCATGTCATTTGAGCAGATACGCATTCAACTTCTGAATACTTTACTTACAAGGAGTATTTGAGGGTGTCGTCTAGTTCCATAATAGCAGCCTGGTTTCCACAGCGGTAGCAGTAGTTGGGGGCACTAAATATTGTGACCACGTTCCTCTCATGGCACCAATTGTAGCCCTGAAGAGGAAGCAGAGGTGTTACTCTGTGCTGTGAGGGTCTGATCTGACCTGCAAATCGCTTCATTTTAAATGTGCGCGTCCACGTGTGTCTGTGGTCAGTAAATCCTACAAAACACAGACACGCACCTCCATGACCAGCTGGTGAGCTCGAGACACCAGCGTGAGGCGGTTGGCGTGGTTGAAGGTCTCGGAGATGTCCTGGCCGAACGTGTAGCCGGCCCCTCGTGGGGAAATGCCCCAGCCGCCGCGGTCGTCGGGGTCTGACCACAGCAGGTCACACATGGGGCCCTGCAGGGGGAGGAGGAGCAGGTCAGCGCGGACACGACCAAACCACAACTACATTTGGACTAAATACACTGAACTGTGCGAATAGCCGGGGAAAAAAATCTGCCTTTCTTACCTCATGTGGAACCTCCTGTAAACGGTCTAGGGCCCTAATATGATCCAACGTATCTATAGATGGAGACAGTCCTCCGTGAAGGCAGAAAATCTGAGGGGAATACAAGAGAAATAAATGTGATCATTCTTACCCACCCCTACTTTTTTTTTTCTAACTAAGGATGTAATGCTTATTCAAACAAACAGATCGACAGCTTAGCGTTCTTAATGCATCATCACCTGAGAGTCTACCAAGGCGGTGAGGGGGAGGTAGTCGAACAGGTCTGTGAAATACTTCCAGACGTTGGCGTTTCCGTATTTCCTTAAACACTCGTCATAAAAGCCATAGACCTGTGTGATCTGTCTGCTCTCGTGGTTCCCTCGGAGGATTGTGATGCGCTCCCGGAAGCGTACCTATAACATGATGGGGGGAAAAAAGAAGAAAAAAACCCCCATCAGTTTCCTTTAGCTTTTTTCTGCCTCCTTGAAACAAATCAGCAGATTCCAGACTGAAAATATTTTAATCGTGGGATGAATTTCCCCCCCATTCGCTCACCTTAAGTGCTACAAGTAAAGTGACTGTTTCCACAGAGTAGTACCCTCTGTCCACGTAGTCTCCCATAAACAAATAGTTTGTGTCTGGAGATTTCCCTCCGATCTTGAACAGCTCCATGAGGTCATGGAACTGACCGTGCACGTCACCGCACACCGTCACCGGACATCTCACCTCCTGGACGTTTGACTCCTTGGTCAGGATCTCCTTTGCCTGGATGAAAAGCAAAACCCTTATTGTTTTTCCAGTTTGGAACAAAAAATGTAGAAGAAACAACCCACATTAGATTTTAAAACATTTTCAAATTTGGGTTTATTATTGCTCGTTACTCGGGGGGGGGGGGGGTTACCCCTGCGTGCTATGACAGGCCACACTCTGGCTCCACTACAACATTCTTTAAAAACCCATTAGTTTTGCTGCTTCACGTATGGATAAAAACATTTTTCTAAAATAGTTCATTCTGAACACTTATTTCAGAACACTTGCATTCACAAGCAGAGGCATGAGAGGAGGATTCATTTTTGGAAACAGTTAATTCTACCCAGAATTCATCCCAGGGAGGTCTAAAAGCTGCTGCTGCTGCAGTATATGAATCAGTATGCAGCCCACAGCCGGTTCTTATACAAACCATTAGCGGCCGCTGTCCAGCTCAGAGCAGACAGGGCGGGTCGCACCGGTGAGATCCTCAGACTACAGCGGAAATATTAATAACTATGTCTGGCGACCCACACAAGGCCCGTTCCTTGAATCAGTGCTCGTTCTTATCGAGAGGGTCGGTGAGCTGGATGAGCTCTTTTAAGAGGCTTTGAAGCAAAAAAATCCTTAGGCTGAGTGAGAAATATTTTGAGCCGAGTGACCACCACAAATGGCCAACAGGCGTAAGCAGGCTGGCCTGCTGCCAGCTGACGGGACGGAGACAAACAAACCCACAGCATCCAGGACAGGGCAGCGCGATGCTGACCTACATTATAAACACCACACACGTGCCCATAACATCATGTGGCAGCAGGGGGCCTTCAGCTCACTGGACAGCAGATTGACCAAAGCTTCCAGTCCGAAAGCAAAATCAGCCGCTAAGCCTGAGAGAGTATTCTAGATATCCGTTTTAAAGCAGAGCAGAAATGTGTAGAACTAAAGCTCTTATCTGAGATGAGATGAAAGAAAATTAGTAAGTGGGCCAGATCAGTCTGCCTGGAAGCCTTTTTACACAGAGCTGTGGAGTCAGACTTTTAATTACCTTTGGCTCCAGTTAGTGTTTCATTAAGGGCAAAAGCCGTTTAATCCACAGAGAAAAGCACAAATGACTTATTGTGTGTAAAACGCATGTGACGATGACAGGAAAGAAAAATAAGAAAGGGAAAACAGTGACAAGTTAAGGCTAAGGGCTGAATCAAACTGAATGAAGAATGACTCCATTCATTCCATTCTGGCTTCCTTCAACATTTGGTGGAAGCTAAACAGTGACCTCATCACTGTCCTGGTTACCGTTACACAGTCAGCAGAGGATGGTACGGTGTGTTTATTCTTAATCTTTCCACTGTCATTGGCTGTGACCCACGTTTATTCAGACCCAGAAAAATAGTCTTTAGGCCTTACAAGGTTTCATTATATGATGATATAACTGGGCAATGCAACAAAATATGCTTCAGTCACAACAACCAGACAGGGTTATCTGATCAAATATTACATAAAAATGGATTAACTAAATGAGTTCAATGTGACCTGCTGCTTCTGGTGCCGGGACGGCTTTCATCACTCGAAGCCCGAGCCTGGATTTAACAAAAACAAAGATCAATGGAGGGCAGGTACCAGCACTTATGCGAGGTGACGTCCAACTGTGAACACATGGCACACCAGCAGAGGTTACGCAAGCACCTCGCCCAGAGAAGGGACCGCACCTGAGGCTGCTGGGAGCCAACGCTCCGATCTGATGACAGCTGTGGCCCAGATATCAGACGTCAAGAAGTCGGCTAAGCTGCTCTGCAGTGTTGAGAAGTCAGCATTTTTCCCGGCTGCCGCCTTATAATCACATTAAATGGACTTAAACATGGCTAAGGGTTCTGCAGCAGGCAATTTAGAGCAAATTAAGCTCAGGGCCAAGGCTAAATCACAACTGCAGACCATGACCTCACTTGGCATATTGACAGTAGTTGAGAAATAAACATCAGGCTAAGCATTGCCAGCAAAACCACAGCAGAAATAAACACCACTGGATGGTACTCTGACTTGCATTTCTGCTTTGACCAGTGCATGAATTCTGCCTCCTAGATCGAGTCTACTCTCTTCTACCATGTATTTCCTTTATAAAGCATAATAACTGTGTCTAAAGCAATAATTTCCCCTGGAAGATGATTCACTTAAACCAAGACAGATCAGGCTAGGCCTGGAGGGTTTATAAATGGGCCTCAAAAGGAAATTGGCGAGATGTAAATGGAGTCAACTACACAAGCCTTTAAAAGAGAAAAACTGTTTGTTATAAAACATAAAGAGTCTATATTAGAACAGAAACAGGAGAGGAAAAGAAAGGGGGCAAAAAACAGAGAAGTCTTGTCTGAGGCTTCATTACATTTTCCTCTGTATAATTGCCTACAGCATAAATCCAATTTTCAACAAACACTGTCTGCTCCAGTCGCAGAATTTCAAACCAGATTAATCATTATCAAGTGACATAGCAGGCCTCCTCGCTCTGTAAAACGAAGCACATCTGAAAAACACCAGTGCAGTTGCAACATAAAAAGCTGTTTGACAGAAAAAGAAATAAGCGATGGCCCAAAGCGTTAAGCACTTTCTGAGATAGCCGAGAGCAGATTACAGGGCACATCTCATTCCTCCACACCTCTGACACATCCAAAAACAGAGGCGGCAGCTCTCTGAGTCACAATGAACCGTGTTATCCTTAGTCACACACTCTGATCCTCTTAGCAACAAAGGCTCTGGTATTGTTTGCTGATGCAACTCGCAATCAATCATATCCTCGGCTATTTTTAAAAATCGGAAAGGATCTTGTGTGGGTGGGTTGAGCTGGAAATATGAACAGCATTTCCAGAGGAATGTGAGCACAGACAGATGGAGATGCACATCTGAAGCCCATGAGCTTGTGCAGCCTCAGGGCTCATAGTTGCCACTTCTATTGCATATTTTTGCTCCTTTAGAGGACCAGGACAGATGAGCGTTTCGGCTGTTCCTGCACCGATGGCTTCTAGATTAAACATCTGACAGCTGTTCACTATGACAACACGTTTGCAAAATGAAAGACTGTAGAAACACGTCAAAGCGAGGCAGCCCTGTCTGTGAATAAGCATGGTAAGTCAAAAGCATTTGGTCCAGTTTCTGTCTTAAAAATAAATACATTTAAAAAAACAGAACAAGAAAAATGTTGGGAATTAACAGCCCCCTTGAGAATATAGCACCCTTAACCTCCAGCTCACAGTACTCCAAACATGGAAATGATCCTTGTATTTTGTATCCTTTTAGGACCTGAAACTAATAGATTTGTGCTATATAATGATAAACACATCTGGAAAAAAGTTATGTAAGAGAACAGAAATAAACAAACCCCCATCCAACTTTAGTTTCTAAAGAAAGAACCAGGACAGCAGATTGCTACACCACCAGTCATCTGACCATCACAAACACACATCATCCTAAGTTGAAGCATAAACATGGTCTATAGTGACATGGGGCAGGTCAGGGTTGGAGAACTTTCTAGAAAGAAAAACTCATGAACAAATGCAACAAAAAGCGCACAGATATAAATTGCTGAAATGATTAAGAGTCTAAAAAAGAGTAAGTGGTTTTGTTTATTTAAGCGCAGACATCTAGAGCTGGAAATTTTGCACAGATGATGTAGAGATCTGGGTTAAGCTCCAGCTCAGGCGGCTAAAGTGTCCGGGATCTGTTGGCCTTTTCTCAGCCAAAGCAGGGACATATGTGCCTGTTTGCAGCCCCTCGCCGTGAAGCAAAATGTGAAGCAACTGATCCCAACTAAGCAAGCCATCGGAAAACTTTTAGAAAACCGGACAAAGCAAATCTGTGCTGATGAAGGAGACTCCGGCATCAGAGCAGGGTGGGTGTATCCCCACCCATTTCCAAGTCAATAATTTTCATCGTTAAATTACCATGACGTAAACCAATATACTAGACCAAGGTCCTGAGCAAAAGTTAGAGGTGGAACATCACCATAAACTTTATGAATACACGTCATGGCCGTTAGGTGGGCTTGGCCTGGTTGATACGCTTTTCTCGTGTTGCTTGTTATTTAATTGGGTACACCCTTGCCCTTGCTCACGCGGACAAAGTCTCAAACAACTGCCAATTAAAGTCACCAACTACAGAGAATTGCTTCACAAATCAAAGCCTCGTTTCTTCTTTAAAATAGCACGTTTTAGAGAGAGAGACTGCATTTCTGTCCCGCGATGGGCTTCGCCCCCACAGCTAGCTAGCTAGTCCAGATGCTGCAGTCCCCCTGACAGCATGAATGAGGTGGGCTGTAAACACGGAATGCGACCTGGGCTCACACAGTATGAATGAGTGTCGGGTAAAACATCAGTAACTTTATCACATTCCCATTTCTCGACATTTCTCAGAGGGAAGACGCTAAAAGGGCCCCCAAAGAAATAACCAAATAAATTATAGTAAACTATACGCACCGCGCTATGTAATCTACACTATAGACGCCATTTTAAGAAATGTCTGGAAGGCGACGAGGGGGGCAGAAAAAGACGTTGGCAAGTGACTTGGGGCTCGGGGAAGGGATTTTTGTCAATGTCTCACCTTCTCACATAGTGTCTTCACTTGTCCCTCAGACAGCTGCTTGCATTCGTTGAGCTGCTCGATCCACTGGTCGAGTTCCTTCGTAAACGCCTTTTCGTCCATTTCTACGTGTTTTACGGGAACTGCGACTCCGCGTGCGACACCTTAATCGATTTTGGTCACAGATGGCTCGCTCAGATGTTCCCGTCCGAAACTTTTAAAGGCGACCACAGTAAAGGCCAATTGCTCTCTGGTTCGCAGAGGCATGCACCTCCAGCTGCCAAGTCGCTATGATTTGACTGAATTGAAACCGAAGAGGAGGAGGGACAGGGGTCTGTTGGGGATCCACCCTGAAAATGAGTGATTTTGAAAGCTTTCATGTTAATTGACACAGTTCCGGTTCAGACCTTCAAGATAAATGCATCGTTTATTGACTACTCTCAAAGTCTAAAATTAGTTCAGGACAAATTTACCAGCCAATGAAAGCAAAAACTAGAATAAGCAAAGGTCAATGGTATGTAAAAAAAATATTCTCTACTAAATCGAAATTAAAGATTTCTAAAATTAAAATTATCAAACTTAGCTTGATTGCTTATTTCAAATACAGCAAGAATGTATCGAATACAGCCACCGTTCACAATCCAAAGTAAAAAGCCTGGAAGTAAATAAGTGAAGACCTCTTTTTCTGTCAGACTCTATCTTGTCTTTTGGAACTTGTGAGAACTTGGAACTTGGTAATTCTCCCCTGTTGTTTGAAACCACACTTTACATCCGGTATTTCTCTGGCTGATAAGGTCCAACTTGACTTTAACGGCTGCGCGCGCGACATAAATAGAACCGGAGACCTGCGACTGCCCCTCAGTCATTGGTTGGCTGCTCTGCTTCCTCTGGAGTTTCATTGGCTCTACGTTTAAAGCTATCAACACCCATTGAAGAGAATACGTCATCGGTCCGTGGAAGCATGATGTGAATTTTATGGTGTAACCATGATGTCACTTTTTTACGGCAGGTCACAACAAGCAAGTCAAGTAAAAGATAAAACAATTAAAATACAAACATACATTTTACGCTGTGTTAACACTAAAAGTGACTCATTTATTGATAGAAATTCCGACTAAAATCTATAAAGATAAAAATGCCTTGGGGAAGACTCCTCTTTTGACCTTGTTTGCAGTTTGGCAAAAGCTGATACAGCGTATTGTTAAGCCCCATAAACCTTCATGGCTGTGCACAAAAAAAAAAACAATATCAGCAAGTCAAATATTTACTCTGGTTGATGTGTTTCTTCGTTGTGGTGAACATTAGGGCTTTTTATTTTCTTGTCATAATACCAAAAATCCATAAATGAACACCAAATCATGCATGAGATGCTTTTAATGTTTATTTTCAGCATTTAGCTACCGGTACTAATAAGTTGGCAAATCTTTTATTTCCAGAATGTTCAAGCATTTTGTTGATCAAACTATATATTTGTGGCTGGTCATGTACTGGCTCAGGGTGAAGGCATATGACACAGAAAAAACAGCAAATGCACCTAACTGTTCCAAGATGGAACTATTTATGAGAATAAACAACCAAAACCCTAGAAAAAAAAAAACCTCTTTCATTTGACCCCATCAAGCTTTTTTCTTTTCTTTTCTTTTATGGCGTAGTAACAGCTAGACAAACCATGTTATGTTTCTCTGCCATTCTGCACTACTGACAACTGGTCCTTTAATATCATATTCATTCTCCATCATCTAGGTCATAGAAACCCAGATTTCGTCAATAAGGGCAACTAACCTTTTTTACTGGACTTTTAAAGACATTTCACTACTCACTTGCAAGGCCTCTCTGTTTGAATTGTTGTAAAACCTCAAGGTGAGGGGAGTCAAGGCTCATTTATTAGTGACAGGAAATATATGATCCTAAAGCCACCTCCTCTGTTCAAGGATGTTTTTTGTAGAATGGTGTGAACTTCAAAGTATGTAAACATTCAAATATATTCAATTCTATTAAATCCAATTCAATCATTTAATTATTATTAAAGGATGGCAGAATACAAACTCAACTTACCAGCAGGTTATCAATATTTGTCACACAATGGTTTCAGCGCCTCTAATATTCTAAATATTCTATCATAGTATTTAGTTTTACCTATGTTGTGTTTGTTTGTCTTTTGGGGGGGGGGGGGGCGCAGATGATGACGCGACAATTTTCTGTTTGCCTTACTTTTATGATGCACTTACAGACAACCCACTATCAGACTGTCTGACATTTGCTTTGGTAACGTCTCAGCTCATTTTCTATCTAAAATTGAATACAATTCTCTGAAAAGAGCTTTGATCAACATTTATTGATTATCATGTTCACATACTAAATTGAAGGAAAATCACAGATAGATATGAAAGTTTTTCCACATCTCCTAAGCATAGCTGGTCATTTCATGATTTCGTAAAAAAAATGTTGTCCCAATGAAAATGAATCAAGCCTCTGGAAAAAGCTGTATAAATATACGTTAATGTACTGTTTCACAAAACTGCTACACAGAATGTGTTGTGTGTATGTGAAAAATCCTTATATAAACCTGGCTGTGATACGTTTCCTCATCTGTTTGGTCCACCACTGAAATTACTGACCTCACTTTTTACCACAAGAAAAACATCAAACAATGACATGGATCAAAGGCTGAATCTGCTCATCTTTTTAGGACCACCCACTGACACTCTGGAACTGTGGTAAGAATCCAGTCAGCTAACAATGGCTTTATCTTTAATTCAGCTCGTAGTGCCTCTTTGTAAAGCCCACACAACACCTGGCAAGATAAAAGTGGTAGGCTCCTCTGTGTGTCCCGATCAGAAGTCCTTTCTTGTCGTTTCCATCCACAGCTGGCCAACAATTGTTAAAAATGCTGTGCCTCTGCGTGTTTTTCCTCTACCTGTTCTCATCCCACGATCCAGAAACATTTATATTAGGTTTTATGGTGAACCTAAATTGAGGTTGGTTTTGTTTGGGGTCAGGATCAATATATAAACAGAATGCTAGGTATCCATTTGAAAATGGGTACAAAAAAAGTGAATGAAGGTGAATACCAAGTGGATTAACAATGTAAGAAAGCTTTTACTGTCAAACACTACCTAAAGGTATGCCCGAAATGTTTACTTCAAGGTGTAGTAATGATCGTCTCTCTTTTCCTGACCTGCATTAACCTATAAAATAACTATAAAAATGACCATTTAACACAAACAACAATGATGACTGAATGAAGCCGGTGCGAATACAGTACTCTTTTACCATGATCAGTCACATAAAACATACCATTCACTGTGCTTAAAGCAGTCTTTTAGTTTAATTTTGGCCATAAAATCCTGCTATGGCTCTGTCTCTATATTTAAATTCTTTGTGTGTGCCAGGAGGTCTCAGCAAAAGCCCTTTTAATTCTCGGAGAGCAGATGCAGGATGCATGTTTGATGCCAGCACCAGGCTGTCAGCAGGATAAAAGGGAAAGAAACCTCTTGTAATCGACTCTGTTACATATGTGTGTTAGTGTGTAATGTGGCAGAGGGATAGGTGGTGATGAAGTGGTTGTTATGGAAAGTTGGAAGACGATCCCGCTTGAAGCATCAGAGAAAATGCGGACAAGCAAAATCATGTGAGAGGATGGGACATGGAGACATCATACACCTTCAAAAATAGCAGCCTCTGCTTGTGCAACAATAGCTTATCAGGCACACGTAACATTACATCAGTGGTGCATTGTGAAGTCATGTGATGAAGGCAGACTGCAAGAGAAAGATACAGAACTGGAAAATGACTTGTCAGATCATTTACAGCTTGGGACAAACACAAAAATTCCCATTACAGTTTCATACAAAATCATAGTAAAAATCATTCCCTATTTACCACTGGTGAATTTTTCAGTCACAAGGTAAATGGATTATTCTTCCTCTGTTTTCTGGGTGAAGAACATCTGATTTGTGTGTTGAATTGACTGCTGTTTTTTTTTTTTTACCCCCGCATGTATCCTAAATATAGAGCAACAGATATAGCATGAAAAGAAAAAAAAGGATGCAGAAGTTGCACACCGCTCTCCTTTCTCTGTCTACCAATTAGCATCCAGGATTGTGTCTCCAGGATACCTGAAACCATGACAACAGCAGGGTGCCTGTCCCATCCGCGATCTGGAGCGTCATCTGCTGTTGAAAAGAAGAAGTTCAGGCTGCTCATTCATTCATTGAAGAAAATCATTCCCCTGCCCAGAAAGCTTTTCAGAAGGATCCAGTTATTTGATGAATGAATAATCAGAAAAAATAATTTGTTTGATGAACAATTTCTGAAATATTGGTAATTTAGATCCCAGTTGTGTTAGTCCTTCTTAACTTCGAGGCATCCTTATCGTCCTTACTGTATCATCTTTACTAGAGCCATTTATTTGCTTACCAGCTGTTAGTGGTTATTTATTTATGTAGTTTTGTTCATCTTTTGAATGTGATTTGTATACACTGACACAACTATTTGTCAGTAAATGCTAGGCATCGGTTTACTAAAACCAGTCCTGATCTTAAAATGGCCTCTCTGGCTCAGCATTATTGAATGGATCAGCTGCCCTAAATTTTTATTTAAAGTCCAGACAAACACATCTTTGGGGTTCGTTTTAAAACTCTCTGTTTTGCTTATAGACAAACGTAGCAATTTGCACATTTTAAGGTGATGGCAAGGACAGATTAATTTCAGTACCTTATTTTTCTTAATGTCAGAATTAATCATAGACAAATGGATGGTTTGACTTCAAAACAGCTCACAAGAGTTTTTCAAAAATGTACAGATCTTTTTGTGAGAAGAATCTGTCACGTCGTGCTCAGATCATGTCAAATTTAGTCTCTGCCTCTGGAGGCAGAGCTACCCAGACTGTCCACTCACCCGGCTCGGTAAGGCGGGTGATTTAATTACAACCATCTCCCGTGCAGATGTAACATGACATTGCAACTCTAATGAGACTATTAGCTTGTACCGTCTTAACGCTTTGCTCCTCATTAGTCCTGATGGCTGCTGAACGTGCTGATGGCTCCATCCCAGACCCGCCCCGATACTCCCCCCCACTGCCTACAGCAGGTTTCTTTGGAGACTTAATGGTTCATTAAAGGGAGGCTGGGGAGTGGAGGGATTTTTACTGTTCGCAGAGCATGAGGAATCCCAAGGACTTATTGTTCAAATATGAAATTAAGGGTAAACACCTTTTCATTTATATTGTGTTTTGTTCGAATTGTTAGACCATTTCACTTCAGAGAATTTTTCCTTCCACAAGCAGGAAAGTTCCTTAGATAACATCTGTATGATGTTATCTATACTTCTCTTTTTAAATGGGTGTGTCCTTAAATGTTTACTTGAAAAACTCTTAATTAATTGGGAAATATTTCTGTTTAAGATTTTAGGTACTTAGTTAGGGCCCAAGTGATCAGGGGAAGTTTGATATGACAGTTGTGTTAGAGAGTATGGTTACAGACAGTTTTTTTCAGTGTTTCTCCAAAGCAAAAAAAAAGATGAGATAAAGCAGTGCATGGACTCAGGTTTCAAATCCTCTGACTTGTGCACAAAGAAGAATGTGAATCCAAAGAAATAATAACACCAATAACACTGAATAATCATTTTAATTTCAACAAGTCTTTTGTGAAATGATATGCAGAAGTGAGACAGTGTTAAAAAAGAGTGTTAAAAAGAAACCCCAATGTATCTCTGGGTACGTTGATTGGAAAGTGAGAAAGCAACATAAGCTTTTAACATTTCTTTGCCCTTTCTATTAAAAGCACCTAAGCTCAGCGGAGGTATTCTTCCCATCTGCTTTGGCTGGGTCCAGGCTTTGTGTTCAGCCACCGACAAACACTCACAATCACTTTCTTCTCCATTCAGCTGTCAGAAATCCAACTTGTCACTCATTGAGAAGCCCCTCCGCCGACTTCAGAGCCCTCATTGTCTTTGGGATTCACCCTGGAAAATCCATTCAAGTTGATCGAATCACCTTTTGTTTTAAGAGATTATTAAATCTTATATAAGTTGCTTCTACATACGCTCACGTCAGGAACACATGACTTGAATTTGCCACACAGAAAATAAAGAAACATTGCAGTGTTTCCTGCTCTTCGGGAGGAGCAGTGTTTTGTCTCTGCATGACCTACATTCTCCAAGTAGTGAAACGGGCCAACGGGGCTTTAGGGCTATTGATAGCTGCAATCTGGACTCCCTCCGGAGAATTTTCAAGAGAATGATTAAGCTTGATTAAACAGTCGGTTATACTTGCCGGAGCTTTGAGTGGGATTTGAGTGATTTAGCTGCAATGTGGGAGTCTCAGCACTGAGCTGTGTCATGTGACCCTAACCTATTTCTTCCATTTTTAAAGTCCAACATTGTCTTTTTTTCTTCATCATGGGCGAGAGATAGCCTGAACACACAGACTATTTGCTATTGTGGGTATCAAATACCCACTTTTTTTTCTACCGTCCGTCCAAAAGCACAGATGGAAAAGCACCTGCTTTTGACTAAATGTACGGACAGGTGAACTTTATACATGTTTACATATATACTTGTCTTGACATGACTGTTATTACTGCTCATATTGTTAAAAACTTGAAACATCTTTAATGATTCATGATGGTTGATTGATTTTTGACAAAGTCAAGACACCTTTAAGATTCCCCTGTTTTAGCAATGAAAGTTAAACAAAGAAATACTTGTTTTTATCCAAGGCTAATTAAATAGAATGGCATCTTGTTTTGGTATGGTAAAACTCAAAGTTTACACTTGGACTTTGGACAGACCTCCATTTTTCATTCTCCTAAAGCTTTTTTTATGCATCAGTCTGTACATCAGAACCTCATATGTAATATGCAGGGAGAACATTGATAAATAGATTTCGAATAGCGGAACCCTGGAGTTGTTCAGATGTTTTAGGGAAGAATCTTAAATGATTGTTTTTGTCATTCATGTCATCGTTTGTTTTTCTGCTCCTTTATGTGTCCAGTTATTTTTGTTTCAGATGTTGCTTAAGTGATGTAATTGGACAAAGCGTTCTTTGAAAGTGCTCACACACCCACATTAATCAGAGGCAAGTTGTAGTACAACATTCAGGAACATTGGGTCCTTTTACAATCAGACAGTCCTGCCTTGTCTGAACATCTTCAAGTACTTGATTTTCATACAGTGACTCCTTGCTCTTCCACTATTGACTTCCTATCTAAAAGCCAGGGCATAATTTGCTGACTGGACGTTAATCACTTTACAGGCAGGACCACACAGGCAGCGTGCAGTAGCTTGAGATGGATTATGTTGATTATGAGGAAAGCCACTTAGCACTGAATAGATTAGCAGACCGGTGCGCATGGGTTTTCATCTCCACCCATCATCCATGGGTCCAAGAGTGAATAAATCAGGTGGATGACATTCTACATATTTACAGTAGCAGACTCACCGGCACACAGATAACAGACATGACCTATAGTCTAAATCTAAATCAAGACATTTATCATTCCTTGGAAAGGTTTTAAGTTATTCACCTCTAAACAGAAAAGGCAAGACAGTAGGAAGTAACCAGCTTTTAGTGAGGCGAACACAATGATGTGCGAGAATTAAACCATGTATGAGACAAATGACACTGTTACCATGGCAACAGACAAAGTTGATCTCTGTGCACAATAATTAGATAGATAGATAGATAGATAGATAGATAGATAGATAGATAGATAGATCTCTTTTAAAGGGCATTTGTGCAATCTAATTAATAGAGATCCTCATTTAGGCTGCTTATCAGAATTTAATGCAACACTTTAGAGACAAATAATGTTAGTTTGCTCTACTTCAGTAATTTGGGAAATTACCAATTAATAAGTAAAATTCACCAGCTTTATTCAGGGTAATTTCTTGATTATCGCATTTTGTTTTTGTCTTTTTGTTACATTTTGCATAATGTTTCAGGTCTTTTTGGACGTGTTGTAAATGAGATTGTTTTGATGATACTGATACTCCACTAGGCCTATATTCAGGAGTGAAAAATACAAAGGAATAGGAAGAACTCGACACATTTACAATTCAACTTTCTCTTTTTTATCTCGTGAAGAAGTTTCAGTTTTACTTTTAGTTACGAGGACGTTGTGTTTCAGAAATTTAGACTTGGAACATGGAACAAGGGGGCTGTACCAGTTGTGACCACAGCGCTGCAAGCAACCGACGTCACCATAAATAGCGAGCTAGCCAGTTGTTTTGGGAGAAGAAGAAAAGACCTGCAAGCGGAAGAAACACCGGATCTGGCTTCGCGTCGCGTTCGCTTTATGCCACTGGTTTAGTTTTTTTTTCCCAGAGACATTTCGAAAACCCTTTGAATAATGTCTACACCGGCAAGGAGGCGACTTATGAGGGATTTTAAAAGGTAATGCCACGATTTTAGCGGCCACTTCTATTTGCGTTACTGGCTAGCAACGTTAGCCGATGAAGCTGTCGTTAGCAAATGTTAGCTATGCGTTAGCTTGTAGTGCAAACAATACCTCTGGCTAGAGACTTAACAAGGAACAAACTCCCTTATATGGTCTAATTTTCTTTGCTTGTCTAGATAACTGCCCTGTTTAGGGTGTAGACACAGTGGGGACCTTCAAGATAGATTTTTTTTTCAGATGGAGGGGTGTTCGCTGTATGCAGTATTTTGTTCTGGGGAATATCGCCAGCATTTCACATTTTTATTAGCCAGTTCATTTGCTTTTACAGTTTCATTTTCACTTGCCCAGACCAGAGAGGTAGACGTATGTTATCTGGAAAATACCGTTTGACAATAGAGCCATGTATTTGGCATTATGGCCGTGGTCGTTGGTTAAAAGAAAACCATAATGTTAATGCAACGGGCGATCTATGGGCTTAAACGTTCGTGTGTCAAGGAGGTATTTTGATCTCGATTCTCTTTCGCGGTAACGGAAATTTGGGTGAAAATAAAAAATCTAGTATAAGGATAGATGGATAACTTCATTCCACGGTGTTAACGTGACATTTTCAAGTCCTTCTCTGTAACCTGTAGCACCAGAGGTGAAGACATGACCAACGTGTGTCGGGTTTCTGGGAGGCTCTCACCTGACAGGGCCCGACTTGTAATGCCGGCTATGCCCAATCTGTCCCCAGGCTCCATATGGCATCCTCTGGTGTGAGTTAGGTATTCACACACCTGCCAGTAGGAGAGAAAAAAAAAAGATGCTTGGATCATCCGCTGAAGCAGGGCAGATAAGATGTCAGTGTAACTCTGCTCTGTTGAGCCGGTAACCAGGTGGTAAACTGGAACACTTAGGCCAGGAAAACACAATTGCTCCTGCTTGAATGAGCCTGTATGTTTATGTTGAGACTGGCTGATTGTGCTGAGACTTGCCAGGTATCAGTTAGCCTTAATTGTTTGATGCAAGAGTCAAAGTATTTGTGTAGACTGCTTGTTTTAGCTGAGCTGGTATCTCAGACCGTGTCCCCTCTTTGGGACTTGGTGTCTTTTGATAATATTCAGTTAAAGCTTGTGTTGTTGTTTTTTCTACACTGTATCAATATATATTTTTGAAAGGGTTTTCCAAGTAGTTTGATTCAGACTGAGTTTGATAAGTTAACAGTGAATGGTACTAATGGTCTTCTCAAAAGATACAGCAGGTAAGATGACAGTTAGCAGATGACTGTCCTGTCAATGAAAAGTTGTTTCGACATATTCGATGCAAAGAGACTTCTGGTCCTGGGCCTTTTGCAGCAGATCAAAAGATAAATGAGTATCATGGTCTAGCCAATTTCAAAACCGCTGCCAATTTATTTGATAACAATTGTCCATTATCCCGTCGCACTGTGTCATTCTCTCCCAGAAAATGCAGCTTTGTCGATTAATCCTCCGACTCCAATGGGGGGGAAAAAACAAAAACGCCCATCAGCGTGTGTGAGTCTACAAGTTGAGTGCTGCATCTTTTACCAGTGGAGAGTTCAGGCAGATTAATGCAAAGCAGGTTAATTGGAGTGGGTCCATCTGCTGCCAGGGAATTGGACATGGATCTGTTCTCGCAGTCAGATGCGCAAATCAGCCTTCCTGTTGTGTTTTTGTAGCTGTAAGATCTTATTTAGCCAGTGTTTATGTAAAGCATACACACTGTGGGGAGAATAGTCTATTATGCTTCCAAATCCATCTCATGTGGGTTCAGTCCACATTAAACCCGTCAGAGAGCCCAGGGTGATCAATAATTTAATAGGCTACGGTCTGGGGAGTGAGGGTTCTTTAACACCCATTTGTGTTTTGATTTGCGCACACCTTTTGTTGCTAGACAGTGATAGCAGTGTAACTCTGCACTGAACTTGATGGAGGTAATCTGTTGGTCTATCAGCTCTGGGTATTTTTTTTCTATGGAATCTTTTTGGTTTGTCTGGTCAGTCACATTTAGTAAAATGTTACTAAACATAGTAATCAAGGTTGCACCGGGTTGATGTATAAACTGGGCGAAGCCGAATATTCAGATGTGAGATATTCTGCAGCTTTTCTCTGTTAAGTAATCAAACCTCAGCAGAATGGTGTTTCAGATTTATGTTCACACAAACACAGTAGGTTTTACCCCAGGCTCTGGTTTATTGAAAGAATAAATAACTGAAAACTATAAAGAAAGGAGTCGATGAATACTGAAGAGCTAATCTCCTAACAATGGAAAGCCTTTTATGGTCTCTGAAATTTCGATGACTTCAGGGTTGGAGTTTTGAAAAAGGGAATAAGAACCTGCTGTCTGGGTGGGCACTTTCTTATTTTTCTTTTCTTTTTTTTTTCTTTTTTTTTTTTTTTTTTTTTTTTTTTTACTTGAATGTGATCCGAAATCTTATCCGTTAGAGCAAAAACAGGGGAACCAAAAGACTCCAAAGTGGCTGTGCTGATAGGCAAACAGGCTTGTAAAGAAGACCAAATGACAGAACGTGGGATCCTCAACAGTAACCACAATTAACTACTTACAGTAACCTTTTAGTATAATTGGTATCTTTTTATTTCTGAGAATGAAACGTTCAGTGTCTGTAGAAACCCTCCTTTAGTTTGAGAAGACCAAATCAATTCCCTCACTTTTGGAGGTCATTGATAATGGATCCAGAGTTGTAGGAGACAGAGAAGTGAACAGGGTAACAATCACATTGTAGCTGTCAGTGAAGGCATCTGTGGTGACGCACCATTCTCCTCATTAGAATAAATGTGTGTTGTTCCAGATGTGGATCCTAGCCTGGTCTGCTCTGAAAGCACAGCTGCATAGTCGGGGTGTTTTTGATTCAATCCGTCTCCCGCTTTACTTTTTCGAAGCAGAAACTCTTGCCTAAAATCGGGCGCCCAAACCGTTGAGTCTGGCTGTATGCGTTTTTTGTTTTTTTTGCCCTTCATCCGGGTGGATCACGACGGCATTACTCAGAGGTGATCCGTGGGGAAGGTCGACTCGGCGGCACGGCAACGACGCTGGCGAGGCTTTAATGCACGCTGAGCATGCAGCGGCAGCACAGAGCAGCCTCTGAGTGCTCACGGCTTACATTAACTGACATGTGGCAGCAGGATGGGCAGCACGCAGGCCGTCCTGCTAGCAGTTTGTGTCCGGACTGATTATACGACAGTTGTGGTGTTAATTAAACTCCTCACTGTTTCCTTCCCCCCTGCTTTATATGTGTTTTTGTATCCCCCCTCTTTTGTTTCTGTTACATTCCCTCAATTTTCTTAATTGTCTTCTCATATCTCCTTGCCCTTTTTCTATGTTTTGTTTAGATTTTTTTTATTTTTTATTCCCTCTTTAAATGTCTCTCTTCCTCTGTTAAAGGCTACAAGAGGATCCTCCCACCGGTGTGAGCGGAGCGCCATCAGAGAACAACATCATGCTTTGGAACGCTGTTATTTTTGGGTGAGTCATGTTCTAAATCCAACTCCGCCCTGCTGTCTTTACTGTTCCTTTTGTGATGCACAGATTCTGCAGCCCGCTCGTACCATAGCATCCTCATTTGCCCCCCCCCCCCCCCCCCCTCGCTTCCTTGAAGGGGGGATGAAAAAAAAAGAGAGAAAATTGGCTGTGATTTTTGCACAGAGCAGGCGGGAAAGGGCATGGTACAGTCACAGCGGGGGGTTGATGCAGGGAAAGGCTAGTAGATGATGTACGGGGGGGGGCACTGATTGGACAGGTTCCAAGAAACAAAGCATAGATAAGAACAAGTCAAATCGTGTGTTGTTGTTTTTTCCATACTTGTTATATTGCTTTAGAAACATGAATTCATCTCCACTAGAAAGGAGAATAACATGTCTAAAATGTATAAGTTTACGTTTTGTTTGTTTTTTATTTAGAGAAATACTCGTGGGATGAGATGCAAATCATACAAAGAATTAATAAAAATGTCAAAGGATGAGTCTCCCCAAAGTAATTCCGAGCCTGACAGGCAGCAGCAAGACCTAACAAAAACAAACCATGGAGTTACAGGGGCTTGTAAAAATAGACTTGCTGATAGTTGCTCGCCTAATTCCAAGGGGGAAGCTGCCAGGAATGAAAAAATGTGCAGGCAGCTGCTGTAATTGCTCCTCTAGCTGATATGAGTGTGGGGATCTGACTGAATAAAGAGTGATTTTGGTGAGTGCGCTCCTTGGACTGTGCGAATGAGTTTATTTTCTCTCTCTGTTCTCTGCAGACCCGTGGGGACACCGTTCGAAGATGGTAAGTTCTACATTTTGGATGAAAAGCAGGTTTATATTTTCCAAACTCTGGATTAAATCAAAGTTGGCCTTGCACTGTTGCCGTAGAGCTGCATTTTAAGAAAGATTTATAACGAGATGGAAAAAGCTACCGTGAGAGTTGGGCTGCACTTAGAAACTGACATATGGAAGGACGTATTAAACTTGCATTAAACTGATTTATAATGCACATAGTAGATAATGAGCTAATGCTTAAAGTCAATAGAAGAAAGCTTTGGACTTGCAGCATCCACCGAGCCAAATTAGCTAGGTATGGGCATGACTTGGTGCCTGAATGGAGCAAATGACTTGGCTGATTTCGTGTCTGAAAGCAGCTCGTTAGTGTTGTTGGTCTCTTGTTCTTCCCGTCTGTGCCTTCAGGAACATTTAAGCTGCTGATAGAGTTTTCAGAGGAGTACCCAAACAAGCCCCCCACAGTTCGGTTTGTCTCCAGAATGTTTCACCCAAACGGTAAGCGCTGCTGCAGTCCCAACTTCTTCAGCTGTTGCAGTTGTTTAGAGAGACGGTGGCAAAAAGCTGTATTATTTACATTGAAGTCTGTGGTTCCATAATCTTCAGGCTCCATCTTCCCTTCTATTCAGGCAGTTTCTTTTTAAGTCTATTGTCTACATTTATTTACTGGTCAAATATCCACCAGTTTTTATTTTTGTTTATGTTTCCTACTAAAGTGAATCTTCTAGATGGTACTTGGACAGTTTTGACTGCCGTTGTCTTTTCTTCAGTTCTAACTTTTGACAGTTTGCAGCAATGTGACTTAATGGAGCTCAGCTCAGAATCGGATTGAGTCTATCTTTGTTTAATCTTGTTTAGTTTGTTAAATATAGAGAGACTGTAAATGATGACGTGTGTGTTCTGATGTTGCTTTAAAAGTTTTTATCTGTTCACCAGTTTATGCCGATGGCAGTATATGTTTAGACATTCTTCAGAATCGCTGGAGCCCTACGTACGACGTGTCGTCCATACTCACCTCCATCCAGGTACTTCACTTAATTACTTCCAATCAGATGTCCTCGCTCTTATGAATCTTGCTGGAAATGTTGTTTGTACAGGTGTATCATCTAAAAAAGCAACAACTGATGGTGTGTTGTAATCCATCTTTCTGCAGTCTTTGTTGGATGAGCCAAACCCCAACAGCCCAGCCAACAGTCAGGCCGCACAGCTCTATCAGGAAAACAAGAGGGAGTACGAAAAGAGAGTGACGGCCATCGTGGAGCAGAGCTGGGTGGATGTCTGAGCTTTCTCCGACCCCATAGTATTCTCTTCATCGCCCTCTCTCCATCATCCCCGTTCTCCAGTTTGTCATCAAGAAAAAGAAAAAAAACAGCAATTATATAAAAACTCAAGTGCCACCCTGAAAAGAAAAAGAGCAACCAAACCTGAATGGACATTAACTTGCTTGCCAACGCATTTTAGGAAGTAGAGAGGGGGAGGGGGGATTCAACCTTATGTTTGTGTTTCTTGTCTTTAATTTGACTTTTTTTTTATTGCATGATGTGAGGTAAGTTATTGCTAACAAAATTTGTAATATATCTTTGGCTGGCTGGATTGATGCTGTTAGTGCTCGAGTTTTACAGACTGTTTTCTTCTTCCCTCTCTCTCTTCCTCCTTCTGAAAATGATCCCCTTGTTCCTTTTTATCAGCCGGCTGTTTGACAAAGATGCTGATTGACCAGATCGGCATACTTTTTGAAAAGCTTTTTGAAAGCTTTCGGGAGGGGAACCAGAAAATGCCTTCCTAGAGCTCGTAGCATCAATGTTCCCTCTAGTCAACCACAAATATAGCTGATGAAGGACAATTCCAGGTCTGATGTGGCATATCAGTTTGTTTTAAGAGATGCTGTGGGTTTGGGCTCTGAATGCATCGCGGGTAGCAGAGTCGCTAATGAATCATGACTTTGTGGCTGGCCATGACAGAGCTTTCACTGTAATCATTTCCACACCAAGGTAAGGAGGATTCTTGGACCGGGGGTTCCAATTTACTTCCTGTCATTCCTTGTTAAATGGGTGGACATGGTGCTTCTGAGCCAGGAGTGGGTGCAGCTACGGTAGGACGTAGGTCCTGCTACGTCCGTCCACCAACCTGCTACCCGAGACATGAATTGACAAATGAGCAGAATATGAAAGCGGTGTGCTTCATTTATACTTTAGTTTGTTTTTTTTAATTGAGGGGACTGATGAAGCAGATTCCTGCAAATATCACTCACCTGCAGTGTCATGCTTGTAGCAAGCGTGTGGTGTTTCCCTGTAGGCTCAAGTTGCTTTCATGCCTGAATTGATCTCCTAGCTGTTGCTGCCCAATTAAAATTCCTCCTCAGCATAAATCCACAACCTAACCCGTCATACTGCAGCTTCACCAGTCATCACGAGACAGAACTCCTCTTTTCTTAAATAATAAGGTCGTATTGTGAGGTATGACTTATTTCGCCTAACAAGCAGAAGGGATATATTCTAAAGTTTTGAGAATCAAACATGTATTCTTAAACCAATATGCTGTATAAACATAATAAAACACATTTTCCAGACTTTGACCGGAGCGTGATTTTTTTTCTTTTCTTTTTATGACATTTTTCAACATAACTCTGGCCCTGACAAAAGAAATAGGCTCAAACAGAATTATTTGGGACTGACCTGTGATAAAGGGTTTCCAGGGAAATAAGTGCACAAAAACAAGGTGCACAAAAATAAAGTCAACTGCAAAAGCAATGTTTAGTTAATACCACAGTTTATTGAAAATGATTTGTTTTTTTTATGCTTATAAAATCAGGTTGCTTTGGGTTATTTGTGCATTATTTACCTTTTAAACCCAAACAAACCAGCTAAATGGACACTTAGAGAGCAATGATTCCATACTTTCCTTGCTTTTGCTTGTAAATTTACAACAAATCTACCAACAAACCAAAACTCAGCCTTGAAATGTCAGGAAGTTTTTCTTCCGTTTCCCCCCAAACATCAACTGAGAGGACACGTTCAGTGGTTAGAAAACAAATGCCATTTATTATGAAACAGACAAACCTTCAAACTATGTCCAGTGTTCTCTGTCATGGAAATGTAAAAAAAAAAAAAACTTCCATAAAAAAAGCACTTTAAAAACAGCGAAACCATGTTTTAAAAATGAACACTTCAGTTGTATCTATACAAAGGTTGTGCACATATTTGTTTTCACTATACAAGGACTTTTTTTTTTTTTTTTAAAGATCGTAAAACCATAAAAATGTTCGTTTCCAGCTGTTGTCGTTTTAAGTGGACCGGTCATCGACCCTGTGATAGAACAGAAAAACACTTGAAGAATTTATTTCTGGAAAGCTTGTCAACATTTGAATGTTTGTCAAAAAACACCTACCTTTTGGTTCTTCATTATTTCATCTCTCGTCTTGAAGATTGGAGCGTCGTCCACTATGATGCCATCAGCCATTTCCTTTACTTTTTCCAGGAGCTCTGTGTTGTACCTGCCGTTGAAGAGACGTATTCTGTTAGCATAGGGAACTTGACAAGACTAATACATGGATCTTTATGCAAGACCTTTGCAATTTTCTGTAAAGGTCTTCTATCTTAAATTATCGAAGATGTTAAGGATCTGTGCTCAACTTTTTCCAAGCATATCCTGACCCTTAACAAACACATACACTACTTTTTAAATGTGTAAATCATAAGTATTTTTAGAGAAAAAAGTGGATCATTTGGTAAGAATTAAATTATGCTATCATTGTAAGTACAAGGTATTTTAGTTTTCTACGTTTTAAAGTCAGACTTAAATCATTTTCATAACGATGCACGCCTTGTTATGTCGCGTACCAACCGCAGGGGGCAGCAGGGAGCCAAACGAAAGGCGGACTCAGACGAAGAAGTCTGTGCCCAAAAACACATATATATATATATATATTTGGCTCTCTGCATGCATGACAGAATTATTCCGTAAAAGAAGAAAGAGTTGTTCAGAGTTAGGTTGTTATCAGTCGCTACAGAAACAACTGCACATGATGTTTGCGTACCGGCAGCCGAGGAAGACGTTGTTGGCCCACACCATGGACAATGAGAGCAAGTTATCCATCTGCACGTCTTCGTAGTCGCTCAGGTTCCTCAGGATAAACTCCCTTCTGGCCTCCCACTGCTTGTTGCTCTCCCAGTAGCCCCGAAACGTCTCCACCTGGGTGGCCGTATCTCTGTTTTGTTGAAGAAACTCCTCCACATCTGCCCCAGACATCTTGCTGTTCGACGAACGTGTCGACAAAGCTAACTTCCTGTCCGTGCCAAGAGGGAGTGTGCGGGTAGGGGCAGCGTCATCGATTCCAAACAGCGCCACGCGGCGGTGGCAATAGGAAACTGCAACTCGTTTAATCAATGTTTAAAATAAACCAAGTTGGCTGGGGAAATTTGCTAGCTATGAGTAGGTGTGACCATTACTTACTCTTGATTATTGTTTGTGTTAAACTGTTTTATTATTTGAACTGTCTGCTTAAACTTGAACATGTTTATAAATACAAATAATAGTATTTGTATTCAACAGTTTCCCAATTCTGCAGTCAGTAAGGTACACTTTATCTTATCTTATCTTATCTTATTTTATCTTATCTTATCTGAAAACACATAAAGCACAAATCCAATCTAATTATAATTCCCCAGCATTAGAATAATATTATTTTGTTACCATTTTCACGCAAAAAACGTTACATTCAAGAAGCACCTGATATTTGTGATGGAAATCTCATATGAGATGTAAAGAAAGATTAGATCTTGTAGTAGGTCTCTTTACCATCTCTGCCAGTTAAAGCCATACTGACAGACTGGGCTTTGATTCCTGCATTAAACAAACACACACACATACACACACACACACACACACACAAATTCATATACACACTCATGATTCAAAACTCTTGGTTTCGTCTCCCTCGATTAAAATCTTTTGGAATCATCAGGCAGAAACTTTGAATTTCAACCCCCAGTCTGCTGTATGGAAAGAGGCTTATGTGCCGACGATCAGGTTTACAAAGATGCACAAGCTTTACACACCCAGCCCTTTCTTCTCCCCTCACAGATGCTTGTTCCCTCTTTTTTACCTCAAGTTCTCACACATAAACTGGAGGATCTGGAGCTTGTGTTGACAAGAAGTCATCGACTGTGAAGAAAAGATGAAATGAAGTCTGATAACATCTTGACAGGAGTTTTGCTCCAGGCCCGCTGAGACTTAGCAAAGCATGTCTTACCTTTAGGCATCCACTGCAGTTGTCCCCCACATGTATCGCTACATCTTGAATCCAAACCACATCTGGATCCCAAACTCCAGGCTCCTCTTGTGAAGTGGTTTCACTGGTGTCAGTTCGAGTTACTTTGTGAATGAAAGAAGAATCTGCTGCCGGGCAAGTTACTCTGATGGAGGCAGGAAAAAGTTCAGCTGCTGGCCAGGAGAGTTTTTTTTCTTCTTCTTCTATGTCTTCAAGTAGATAGAAAGCATCTGTGTGTGTGTATTTTTTCAAATTTTACTTTGTTTTTCTTTTATGAAAATTAGATGTAAAACAAAAAGACGTGCCAGTGTGTAACTTAGGATGGTTCTTCTGGCTTTGTTTTTAAAGTTTGCAGTAGTTTATCTTCTTCTCGTTGGCCTTTAGGTTTTAGCAGAAGAGTTTAGAGGACTTCATGACAGACCACAGTCTCTCAGCCCCAAAAAAGCAGTTACACAGATCATCACGACATACCAGGGAGGTTGCATCAAACCCCACTTCTTTCTTCCTGCTTATAGACGGCTCCTTGTTGTGTGGCCTCCAAAATGCTTTCCCCGTTAACAGTTTTTCCTGTAATTAATTTATTCCCTTTATAGCTAAATCTCAGAAAGAGGAGAGGACCCATCTACATACACACCCTTCCCCTCACCTCCTCTCAAATTTCTCCAGGAAAACCACCACCCGCCACTTCTGGGTATGGTATATTTTGGCCAATGTCCAAGTCACACAAGTCACCGCCTTATTGAGTGAACTAACCCATTAAGTTTATGGCCTCCACTCTCAGCCTGAAATATATACTGATGCTGAAATAATACGCTCTGTTCCAGCCAGCGTTGGCAGACGGCCGTTCTTGATGAGTCACCTAATGTACGCTTAGTCAGGAGAAAACTGTAATTGGGTAAACAGGCAGACAACAGGTAGCTTGTTCAGCTGGAATCCAGGGGGTGAGATTCGGTAAGAAAGGAGATGTGTGAAACAGAGGGTAGAGAGGAAGGGCGTTTGATCATTAAAAATCAAGAAAAATACAAGTGCATAAAAAATACACCGGCTCCACTCTGCTGAACTTTTTCAAAATTTTATTCCAAGGCCATTATATTTTTACAGAGCTTTCAGGCTTTACCTCGTAGGATGCTCATTTTTTTTCCTGCTGCATCTACCAGTCCAGTAAATTATTTCAGACTCAGATTACATCTTTTTTAAAGATTTTTCTTCTGGCCACATCGTTGATATTAATTGAAATATGTGTAAGTCTCAAATAGCATCAGTCATACCGTGAAAGTGACAAAGACTCATGAATAACATTCATTATCAAAAATGTAACTTTATTTGTCACCTTTATTTGCCACCAGCAGCTGGCTTGACTTCCTGCTTTTCATTGCAACATATTAAATGACAGGTCTTTCTTTTTTTTTTTTCTTTTTTCGCACCGTGCACATCTGTTAGTGGACGAGGCTCCGCCTGGGTCCAGGTGATGTAAATGTCCTAATTTTTAGCCAGTCAGAGATCCCCCTTCCTGTTGATGCAGATTAGCCTCCTGTGCATTTAACTGTGTCAAACCTAAATCTATAATAACAGCAATACACGCGAAATAATGTATGCAGGTTATTTGATTTTTGTCATACATACGTCTCATTTCTGGGCTTTTTGCAGAGGACTAAGTATGCACAGTAGCTCAATAGGAGATGAAACTCTATAGTCCCACTCTGGCGATCATTAATCCACTAAAACCGCTTCACATCCTCAGTGACTCCACTGACACACACTGTCCACTTAATGTTGCACTTGGCATCATTTGTGATTTGTAATAGTGATTCCTCTTTAGATTGCGCATCGTTTCCATTTGTCACAACCAGATTGGGACATCTATAGGTGGAAATATTTGTAGTTAACTTTTTTCCCCCCTCAGTGAATACATACCCCAATATAACCTGCCCAGTCTTTTCGTTTATGTATAGTTTATGTAGGTTTAATTTGAAATGTTTGAATATTGGAAAGATAAAAGGTATAAAAAGTGGAATGTATTGACTCAAAATCACTTTCTCTTATATCAGCTGAGCTCCTCTCTCTGCCTTGCTTTGTTTGTCTTCACTTTGCTCTGTCTTAACCTCTGACTGCACGTCCAAATTTCAGTTGTAAAAAACTTGTAAAAAACTCATTGAAATATATTAAAACACAATAATACATGTGAAATGGAAAGACTCTTTCATTTTTAATTATGCACCACTCAATAAACAAACAAAAACTGTATAAAAAGGGCGTGAAATTAGTAAAGAATTTGGGAATTGTTCATGAGATTCATCAAAAAACGGAATCCACACCAATGAAACATCACAGAACCCCTTCACCCAATGCTTTACTCGCCATATTTTAATTGACAGACACTATTCCAACATTTTTTTGCTCAGTTTTAAGAGCGACTGGTGCATCTCTGAACGTGTCTAAAACTCTGAAACAGTGCCGTCAGAATTAGGCTGCATTTGACTTTGCGCTGACTTTAGCTCCCCACCAAGGAAGGGTGCTGAAAGATTTTAGGCCTGGGACCCGAGTGATAAATGTAGTCTGTCACCCTGGGATCCAGACTAATTAAAAACCAGTGCTCTTGACATGCTGGAGCAGTCGGGCCTGTTAGCTATTTCGCGTCCTGAATCCCCACCCAAAGTTGGAAGAGCCAGGATATTCAGCTCCCCCTTCTGCTGGAGAGACGGCGGGGATCCTGATGCAGCGCCTGGCTGTAACACAGCGTTTCGCAAATGAAATGTGACCTGTCTCATAAGAAAAGAGTCCAACTTTTACTCATACTGTGCCTCTATATGCGTGTATTTCATTCTTAGTTTTCATGACTTGCAGGATTTGTGGGTGAGCATAAGCAATATTATCATCAATAATACAGATTTATTCTACTGGAGACTCTGACAAAGACAAAAGACAAGAAAAAACATGTTGCTGACTAGAACACATCATAGCAGATGTATTTCCAGCTGCCAGAAGGCATAAAGACTTGTAACAGAAGTGGTAACAAATACAAATCTACTCCAGAAATTTGAAGAGGCAGGAAACAAAACGCTTCTGTTTTCAACTTTTCATACAAGTCCTTTTGCAAAGGGCTGAAAAGACCAATGACATGATATATCCTCAAGGCTATAAGTATTAACAGTGTCCTCCCTTTTGCTCGGTTTGAAACCAGTCTCAGCATATGTGTAACCCCAAAGATGGCAAACTGAATCCAGTGATGTTGAAAGGGCGACCACAACATTTGGAAATGTAAAAGTGTCTATTGTAGCAGCCAGAATTGACTGCCTACGGAGTTCTACCGGCTCAAGGCTTGGCATGGAAAAACAGCGGGAGGAAGATGTATTTTTCCGAGCAAAATAATTGGGCACATCTGCTCAGATTGCCGTGTTTGCGCACCTTAAGGGCCATTTCGTTTGGAACAGAGAAAACAATCCACTCAGCTTCATTACCTCGCCCTTGACACAACATTGTGTCGCTGCGACGTCTGCGACTGTTTCGGGGAGCCAAAGTCATTCAGGATGCGACGCGTTCCAGCAGAAAATCCATCTGAACCGTCCATGATAATATGATGCCTGCTAAGAAACAAACAAAGCTTTCAATCCTGAGACACACTCCAGCTGGCTCTATCTTCAGATGGAAAAAAAGACAAATTTGAATGCCATTTTGGTCAACATACTATCACACAGTTCATCAGTAAGTACACAAACATGCGTGTATAAAAGTTTCAACATAAAAATATAAAGTGGAGGTAATATTTTTTCCCTTTTAAACATATATCAATTGTATTCAAATGAATGAACTAGCTTTAGTCAGTCTTGCTAGCTCTTCCAAAATGTATTGTCAACCATTCAGACTGTTATTTTTCTACATTTAAAAAAAAATAATGGCACATTTAAGGCACTTTAGCGAAAGTGTCTGGGATAATGGAATGTTAAGTATCTTCCTCAGAAACACCCGTTGTTATATGGACATGTCAGCAGAAATGACAAGCGTCTTAATATTGATAAATGTTTGAATGTGTGACAGAAAACCCTGACAATTTTTTGTCACTATTTAAAGGTTTGGGTACAATGTAATTTTTTTCCTCTTTGCATGGAGATGGGGTTTCTATTAGAATATTTAAGGTTTCTACTTTAGTAGGATAGGGAGAAAATATAAAACATAAAGGTGAATATGAATACGAATAATGGAGATATTATGTCATCACAATGATTTTTGCCTCTTAAGTTTTATATAATTTTTGACTGCTTTCCATATTTTACAAATGGATGTTTTTCCCCCAATAATGTATGTTGCTTATGTTCTTCTGCGTTAAAGAAAATTATTTCTTTAGATGTATTTTCCTTAATTCTTTGGCTTCATTTTCTTCCACCCATTTCCCTTTTGCTGTTCCTTGTACTATCTCCACAAAAAGAGCAGCAGATGTTTGCAAAAAGGTTTAAACGGTTTAAAAATCACAGCACTTCAGGTGCCTCCCTGATGGAATTGCATGTCTTACATTATTTCCCTCAAAGTATTAAAGCCTCCTAGAGCTTATTAAACCTTCCAGAAAGCTGGTGTTAACTCATTTGTTCTTAATACTACCTCCTTCAAATGAAACCCCGCCCGTGTGCTCGGCTCCAGCAGATTAAACAAACTACAATTACCGTTTGACCTAGATCGGCATGAATCTTGCCTCCTAAAAACAACAAGGCGTGCGTGTCATCCACCAGGAAATTGCATTAGTGCACATTAAAGGGACCGTGGAAAGGGCCGTTCCCTCCCGGGGGATGCTCCAGCTACCTGCGTTACGTGGAGGTGGAGAAAAGAAATCGTGGGATGCTGCCGCTGCGTTTGAGCGCGCGCCAGAGAAATCCCTCCAGTGTCCTTCAACGCCTCATTTCACTTTGAGCAAAAACAGCAGCGCACACTCTTTTCCGCTCCCTCCCCTGCATTTCCCCCACGGTCTGCGTGACACCTGATAGGGGCCGAAACCGCTGTTTGTCCACCGGCCGTGCTCTGCCTTTTGTGCTCGTATAGGTGAGCATCGCCGGGCTGTGTGTGTGTGTTTTTCGATGATAGTCGGATTGTTCCAGCGACCTTAAATCGAGCTTGGCTTCCGTGTGCTGACTGGACTGCAACATCTCTCCCTGCAGAGGTGTGCATGCTGACTGAAGAGGAAGGGAGCAGTGACTTTAAACCAAGAAAAACTTCTAGAAAATGCAACTCTTCCTTTTAACAGGCAGGGGACAGTGACTTGGACACAGTGAAAGGTTGTAGATTACTCATCAATTGACGGTATTCTTTCCCCTTTGAATATAAATTTGACAGAAAATGTAAAAGTCGGTCATTCACTGGGCTGTTGGCTTTGGATCGTTGCCTTGAGCTGTCATCATATCCACAGAAGTGTGGTCGCAGGTCAAAGGTCAGGTCGAAACACTACCCAAAACACTACACAAAAAAAATCAAATGCATCCACTTTTGATTGAACCTGATGCAAAGCTACTGTTTAAGGGGATTTTTTTTAAGATGGCACCATCTATTGGAAAACAGAATACACGATTGATTAATTTTGTGGGGCCTTTTGCTTGTCTCAAACTTTCCTTCAGTGACCTTAAGGGAGGAAAGCGGAACTCATTCGGAGGGTTCAAACTGTTTCGGGCTGAGAAACTTAGACACAGTGGACGGTGGTATTACTCCTCATTTGACTGAACCCTTTCCCCTTTAAATTCACATTTTACAGAAAATGTAAAAGTCGGTAATTCACAGGGCTGTTGGCTTTGGATCGTTGCCTTGAGGTGTCATCATATCCACAGAAGTGTGGTTGCAGGTCAAAGGTCAGGTTGAAAGACTACCAAAAAAACAAACAAAAAAATCTAATGCATCCACTTTTGATTAACCCTGATGCAAAGCTACTGTTTAAGGTGATTTTTCAAGATGACATCATCTATTGGAATAGAGAATACACAATCTATTTTTTTTTTTGGTCCTTTTGCTTGTCTCAAACTTTCCTTCAGTGAGGAAAACGGAACTCATTCGGAGGTTCAAGCTGTTTCGGGCTGAGAATTGGATGCTCGAGACCGCCGGTTTTTAAATGAAGTTGTGTCAATTATATCCCATTCTGCTCGGTGAAAGCCGTGAACTT